TCTATATTGAGCATTAGAATAAAGAGAGATATTCCAGGGAGAGAAAGGAACTTTTTTAATAGTTTGGGAGCTGATGGGAACAGTCCATTTCGCCATTGACTGAAAATATGTGATGTTCACCACGTGACATGGAAAGGAACTATTGATTCATTGGTAATATTTAATTATTTCATGGTAAATGGAATCAAAGAACCTTCTAGCAGGCATATAGATGATTAATTTTTGAAAAATCGAATTATCAGTATTCTCTTAATTCAATCGCAACCCAAATATCTACTTAGTTCTTAAGTGGGGGGGGGGTAAAATAAACAGAACGGGATAGAAGGGTATGTGTTCTCATGAATCAGATAGACAGATTTTTGTTGATCTTGCACTTAACAGTTGAGGGAGCAATATTAAAATTTAATATTAAAAATACTAAAGTTCTCATGCTAGGATTTTTCAGGAGTTATTTAACTTTTTTTAATGAATTATATCTTGGCTTTGTTAAATTTAAATATTCTTTCCTATTTCAGAATGTCAGGAAATTACATCACCCTGCTTCAACATCTGTGAGGGACACACACAAAAAATTTGGGCCAAAAGTTTAATAATAATTGGAAAGGGAGGCCAAGTCCACCAGCCTAATTTAGCTTGGTAGAAGGATTCAGAAATAACATTTTCCTGGCAAAGTATTTCACTGATATTAAGACGGTTTCTCTGTCTTCTAAATAGCATGAATATTTCTTGGAACTCATAGCTAATGCATCTCTTAAAGCTTCTTTGGTCAGTGATCGGTTACGTTTTCTTATGCCTTATTATTCTGGACTCCAGAAAAATTGTAACTTTGATCAGTGACTTTAATTCTGAGTGTAAAGCTACTCAGCCTGTGGTTTGAGGGTTGCATGGGGTTCAAATCACTGAATTATAACTTTAATATAACTCAGGGATTCTTAACCTTGGATCCACAGATACATTTCAGAGGGTCCATAAATTTGGATGGGGAAAAAACTGTCTTCACTAATTTCTGGAAAGAGGCCCCTAAGTTTCATCAAACTCTGGAAGGGACCCATGCCACTAAAAGATTAAGCACCTCAGATTTAACAGAAGGAGACAGTAAATACAAGTAGATTTGTTAAATGTTTGTTTGGGCTCAATTTGCTTTTGGGAAAGTGATCATCTGAACCCAGTCAAGGGTCAGGTGCAACTTTCCACCTATAAATGATAGTACACCAGTCTTTTAGAGCAAATTGATTGACTGCCTATTTTTAAGAAGCTTTTATATCCTTTAAACCAGCGGTCCCCAACCCCTGATCCGTGGACCAGCAACAGTCCGCAGCATGCCAGCAAGCAGGCTGCACAAACAAGCAAAGCTCTATCCTTGGGATGCAGGCAGTATTCAAAACTGCACCTTCTCTGGTACACGGAAAAATCTTTCTCCGTGGCACTTGTCCCTGGTGCCCAAAGGTTTGGGGACCTCTGCTTTAAACCATAAATAACTAAATATATATATGTGTAAGCAGATTTCTCTAGTAATTTTTAAGAATTTATTTGTAGGTTCTCTTTAAGGAAGAATTAAAACTTGGGCATTTGAGAAAAGGTAGTATGTTGAGTTATAGTCTTCAACATATTTTGGGATTATAATTCTTGTAATTCTCATATATAATGACTATGAAGGTTGGAAGTTATAATTTCAGTATGTCTCGAGGATATTTAATTGGGCAAGAATGTTGTATAGAGTTTCTTTTCTTTACAGATCATTTTTGTCCTCTAAAGTCCTCTTTTGGTCTTTGTTCATGGAAAGAACAACACAATTATTTCTTGTGAGGAAATGTCCACCACTGTTGAAGCTTTTAGAGGGATTTGGTGTTCCTCTTGATGTTTAGCAGATATCACAAGGAGTTCTGACAAAGCTGTTGCAAAACATATTTGAAGGAAGACGGAATTTTAAGAGTTTTGTGGACACTGAATCTCTTTATAGCAGTGTTACTACAAAAATATAAAAATAATATGATAAAATAAAAAGAGGGAAAGAAAAAAGGAGGGAAAGAGTAATTCTTATTCATGTACAACTAGTTCAATCCTTTAAAATATTACTAAATCTAGACCATAGAGAAACATATTCCTCTATCTTCTCATCTTTAGAATATAAAAACATTTCAAAAACTGATAAGTACACTTATTTTTTAACCCATTCTTTAATATCAAAGGTGTACAATTCTTTCATCTACATAACAATTTATTTTAGACTCTATAAAGCAGGAGTTTGCCTTAAAATCTTAAATTTCTAGGTAGATTGATACAGTTTCCTAAGTGCCACCTTTTTTCTTTGTTTTAATGGGCACGTGTTGAAACGTAACACATTCCTATACTATTAGACTTCCTTGGAAGACCGAGAATCTTCATTGACTTGCTTGAAATAGTTTCATTGGACTTGTGGATTTGACAGGTATCTGTAGTGTCATGGATGAGTCACACTTCCTCCATTACACACCTATTCTTGCTTCATTTCTGCTGTGATGTGGTATCTGATAAAGAATCATGCCTGTTTGTCTCTGGTTATGTAAACTCTGCACAAGTTTGGATGGCAATTAATATACTGCTGTATTAAACTAAATTTTTCGAGTTATTTATAATTATAGGCACACAATTACTTCCTGTACTAGAAATGTAAGACAGGATCTTGAAAATTCTTGTTACCAATTACAAGATGGCAGAACTTTGGATTCACTGTTCTCTTCTTTTCAACACTACAATCATTTCAGTGCTTGGGTAGCTTGGTTCCTGGGTTTCTGCAGCTATCTGGAGTCATACAGTTTCACAAATTCTATAGAGAATGTGCAGAATGTGATAGTCAGAATTGCACAAAACTAAAATCATCTTGGTCGTCAACCCTTCTGGACTGTAGATATGCCATTTACTTTTATTTTTAAGATCGGGGGTACACTTCTGTATATTTGGTCCACAAATAAACAATATCAATAAGAGAAAACAGATAAGGAATTAGTATAGAAATTCCAAAAGGAGGATCTGTCAGTGGTCTGTAACAGCAAATAGCATTGGAACTTCCATCAGGTTGAAAAGTAGTAGTAGGCAAAGACAAGATTTCTAATATCTAGAATACTGTAACAAAACTGGCAAAATGGATGGCATATATATTCATTCTCTCCCTCTCCCTCCCTCCCTCCTTCCCTCTCTCTCTGTTTTTGTGTGTGTGTAAAAGAGCATCTGAATAGCTAAAGTCTATATAAATGATGGATAAGGTTTGAGAGGTATTTGGGATAACATCTGGACATGTTGCTCAGTTTTAGTTCTGAGAAGGAAGGACACACCTCTTCTTCACAACTTCAGCCCCATCAAAGTAGGGCACATAGCATATTCTTAACAACCCCAGAATGTTGCTCCAACAGTATTGGACCTTTAAGCAGATGAAGATGCAAAATACAATTGGTGGAAGAGGGTGCAAGAGGGGAAAAAAAACCCTCCTCTTTGTAACACATAAGATTTCAGATCTGAAGTGATATTCTACTCCTATATAATTTTGATTATCAAAATTTATTTCAAAGAGTATTGGAAATTGTAATGTTATAAAAGCGTGAGTGTTATAAAAGTGTGAAAAAAGTTGTTGCCCCTTCAGAAATGTATGGTTGTGAGAATGCCTTATAGTATTGGAAGCCATGGCTATTGAAAAATTTCAAGTATCTTAAATGTATAGCAAAAATGTAAGGAAATTGATATTTGTGAGAAAGCCTTTCTTTAACTATATGAGAGAGTTTTATATTTTTATATATTTTATAGTTTTATTTATATTTGAGAGCGGGCAACTAAATTTCATTTTTGATGTGTGCCATTGTGCCCACAGTAAAAAAAAAATGACAATAAAGGTTATCTTATCATATATTAAAACAGATAATTTGAGTAACTGCCTCATTTTTATAATAGCTTGTATCATTGAGAACTATAAGCGTAGTTCTGTTGTCATCTGGTGGTATTACAAGCTTCTTCCATTAGACTTCTGGTTCTATGAGCTTTGTATAAAAACAAAGGAGGAGTAGAGGTGGGCAGTCTAAAATAATTGTTGTGAATGATAGTATAATTAAGAAATATACTGTACAGTGTAAACCCATTTAAGTTTTACTTTTCATTAAGTTTCATCTTATTCAGTCAATTATTGTGGAGCTAAACTTCCCTAAAATATTTTCTCTGGGGCTTTGGATTTGTCAGTTGAAAATTATTTATTTGTGCTATTGTATTCTTTATTAAACACTTCTCCCAATGTATTAAAATTATAACTCCAAGAATTTTCAGTTGTCATGACTTTTAATTAACATGTTGAAAGTAATTCTATTAGTTCAGCAAGTGTTTGCAATAATTTCAATTTTCCTATTTCTTTTTGTTACTTCCAACTTTTATTTTGTTATTTTAATTATTTTGAATAGCATTATTATGTTTATATATGTTAAATATATAAATGAGTTAATATAAAAACAATATAAAATGAGTTAATATGTAAATTAATTTCCAGCTCTCAAAATGAAAGCAATATAACTCCCAGGACTTCCAGTCAATAGTGCCCATCGGATGCTCCAATGGAAGCAGTGCACAATACAAGTAGTCTTTGACTTATAACAGTTCATTTAGTGACCATTCAAAGTTACAACCACACTAAAAAAGATGACTTATAACCATTTTCACACTTAACTACTTGCAACAGCATCATGATTACGTGATCAAAATTCAGCTGCTTGGCAACTGGCTCATATTTATGACAGTTGCAATGTTCTGCCTCATGTGATCACCTTTTGCGACCTTTTGACAAGCAAAGTCAATGGGAAAGCCAGATTCATATAATTAGTGTGGCTAGAAAAATTGTAAAATGGGACAAACTCAACAAATGTCTCGCTTAGCAATAGAAATTTTGGGCTTCATTGTGGTTATAAGTTGAGGATTACCTATAGATTTCTGTCCTCTTTTGCTGCATCTGTCCTCTAATCATTTTCTTTTTCCTTCCAACATTGCAGGTTTATGAGTGATCAAACATTCTTTTTACACTAAGCCAGGAGGGAGTGGGGCGAAGATGCCGATACCACCCCCCCCTCCACCTGGACCTCCTCCACCTCCAACTTTCAGTCAGGTAATCCTTCTGCTTCTGTGTATTGCTTTATCTCTAGTATGGATTAATCACAAGATATTTCTACTGATTATGTCAGCTTGTGCATCTTCCATATATGTAGACCTGTGGCTCTAGTCCTAATTAGTATGGCTTTGGCTTAGAATTTTGAAAATGGAAATTCATATAGAGAGTGCTTCGGTTGTTGCTAAGGTGATATAAGAAAGTCAGGTCCAGTTGCTGTCACACATCACTATGCCCAGGTATCATAACTAGGAACAACCTGTTCCTAAAATTTATATATGTTCAGTAGATAATACCAAGTTACATAAAAGCATAAGGCAGTTTCATATACAGCGTATGTATGAAGATCATAGATTATGTACCTTTTATATTGGTCCTTCAGGATTTAACCATTATTACTCTAGTTCATATGTTATAAAGAAGTAGGGCTGGACGGATCCTGAGAGATGACATTAAATATATTGGCTGTTCATAGATTAACCACCAAGAGTGATTTGATTGCAGTATTACAGATATAATACATAATTGGACCAAAAATGAAATATTTATTTTAGGTTGATAGATAAAAATAATGGAAAGAGTAGGAATTGCAAATGAGGTGAAAATAGTTCCTTGAAAGCCTTTTCTAAGCCATAAGTAAGAAATTTTTAGCTGTAGAAGCTATAGAATTGTGCAGTTTATTACAAGTAGCTTTTTTTGGTAGTGTGAATGAAGGATTTGTGTGATCTTTAGGCTGCCAAGGGATAAGAATTCCCTTTTCATTTTTTTGTGCAACATTTCCTTTCAGGCAAATACAGAAGCACCAAAACTGAACAGAGATGAGCAGCGAGGGAGAAATGCTCTCCTACAAGACATTTGTAAAGGGACCCAACTGAAAAAAGTGGTTCAAGTTAATGATCGCAGTGCACCTATCCTTGAAAGTAAGTAGGTGAATGAAGTAACCGTCAGAAGATTTTTTTGTTGTTGTCAAATTAAAGGAAATGTGTTACATTCCCACAGTTGTTCCTTTCTTTTGGGAATAACCTATAGCTCTTTAGACATATAAAATGGGTTCATATATTTCTATTACTGCTTTGCTTGTACCATGAAACCAGAGATTGGAATTTATTCAACAAATTATGATTAGACAGAGCATCATTTCCCATAATGTGTGAATTAGGTCAGCAGTGCAAACAGAATTTGGGAATTAATGTTTAAAATAATTGAATTCCAGGCATGTGAGAGAATTATCCAGAAATTAAATAAAAGTAATTAGGTGAGGGCTTGTTAGGTGAGATGGATTGTTTTTAGTCCAGTAAATAATTATTTAAGCAATTTAGATACAATCTGTTGCCCTTTCACTTTACTTCTGACCATGAATGACTTTGTTTTTTTCTGATTGGTTCTTATTACATAGTGCCCAAATTTATTCTGCTGTTATTGTTTGGTTATTGATTGTTTTGAATTTAATTCTTCTAGTTTAGGAAGGCAGGAGGGAAAGAATTTGTGGAGTTTGAACTATTATAGTTTAACCATTGGAATTTCTACTCAGTACCATTGTTTTTCCTATACCTATTGTGTGCTAAAAGTTATTTCCAAAGGGAGCTTTTGATATTGGGTACAGTCCTGCTCAATAGAAAAGAATGTAAATTGCCTGAAATCTTTAGATTAATATTAATATATATATAAAGTTCAAGCATTTACACATTAATAGTAAACTTTAGAAACAAACGTTTCTGAATTTTGAATTTTAAATTAAAGAAAAAGAACATATTTTTAAAGCATTCTAGGGGAAAATATATTAAACTTTGGACATTTGAATAGCAGTCTCAAATACCATTAGTTGCAGGTAGGCCTAGCAATTATGAGTTTGCTTGCAATAGCTGTAATTAATAAACTTTTTGTGTTACATAGTCTGACAAATTAAATAATATTATTTAACTTATTTCAGAATCCAAAAGTGGCAGCAGCTATAATTCTGCTGCATCTCCTCTTCCAACAAAAGTGGGCCTTTTCCAGGGTGGTATCCCCAAACTACGACACATGGGAGTAAAAGAAAGTTCAGGTGATGTTTTAAAAAATACCTTTTTTAAAGATATTGAAACATGATTTGATTTCTCTTGCTGTGCCATACCTATGTCCATATTTGAATCTGTATTCCTTTTACTTTCTATTGGAAATAGTAAAGTTTAGGTATTTACAATCCAATCATCTGCAATTAGGAATACATATTATATATAGCATTGGGTATAATTTCTGTTCAAGCAGGTCTGTAAGTTTTATTAAATTGGATGGTCATTTTTACCAGTGAGCTTTACACCTTTAAGAAATAAGGTAACTTTTTCACAGCAGAGCTATCTGTATAGGCTTTGATCCATTTAGCTGATTTTACATACCATTTTTTAATTTTTCCAGACAACTCCTCTGGGAAGGCACTACATCAGGGTTCTGGGGTTCGATCAGCTGCACCCCGGCCTCCTGTGTGTGCTACTAGCACACGACCCCAAGATGACACTGAAAATAGCCGAGCTTCTCCCCCAGAGCTTCCACGCATGCAAAGACCTTCATTGCCAGATCTTTCACGGCCAAACAGTGCCAGTGGCACTGGTATGAAGCATAGCTCTTCAGCCCCACCACCGCCACCTCCTGGACGGCGAGCCAATGCTCCTCTTGCTCCACATTCTATGCATAATAGCAAAGCACCTTCTTACAACCGTGAGAAGCCATTGCCACCAACTCCAGGACAAAGGCTTCCAGGAAATCGTGATGGACCACCAGCTCCTCCTCCCATCAAGCCACCCCCTTCCCCAATAAATATCCGGTCAGGATCAAGCAATCAGAGCCAATCCTTGGTACCCCCTCCCCCACCTTACCGGCAGCCTCCTGGTGTCCCTAATGGCCCTGCCAGCCCTATTAATGAATCTGCTCCTGAACTTCCCCAGAGACACAATTCCTTACATAGAAAGACACCTGGACCAGGGAGGGGTATGGCACCTCCCCCTCCTCCTTCAGCATCTCCTTCCTTACAGAATAGTCGGCCCCCACCTCCTGCCCGTGATCCTCCAAGCCAAGGTGCAGGTAAGAGATTTTTACAGCCCCCTTCAGCTTAAAAATAGGTTGTGGAATTGATAACATTCAACATTTAATGTCTGAAAACAGAAAATGCTTCAGAGCTATTGTATATCTTCTAATCTGGATGTATAGAGATAGATTTACAGAAGATGCTAATTGCCCTGGTTTCACAGACAAGGCCACTGACAAAGAAGTTCCCCGTAGCAGAAAAATAATGTTTATGTTATGGAATAAGGATTATAATTAGAAAATATCTGCAGATGACATTTAAATGTATATAACAATGTTTAACGGAAAGTTTGGGAACTTGGGTTTGTAGCTGATCTCAAAATTTTTGATTTGGTGTTTCTCCAGCACAGGAGATGGAGAATCCACCAATGGGTTTGCTCCGTCTTCCTGCTCTTGCGACCAAGTCAGCCAAACTTGCCACGCCCCTGCTGGGCTAGGAGACACCCAGACTTGACTTGGTCTCCAGTTCTAAGAGACGTGACAGGTTTGGCTCTCAAAAGTCTTGCAGGTAATGAGTTCTCCCATTAGTAGATTCTTCATTTCCTCACCTCCACAACTATCTCAGCAGCGCTGGGAACCGCACTGCTCCAGATTGTCTATTGGAAGGCTGAGGGGTGGTGGTGGTTTCCTTTCCCCTTCTCCTTGCCCCAGTGCTCATTGCTGAGGCTTCAACCCTTCGTCCTCTCCACCCCTTGTCGTTTAGGTGCTTCAGCGCTGGGCTCAGCGCAGCAGCTCGGATTGCTGAGGCTTCAGCCTTTCATTTTTTCCACCTCTTCTTCCAGTGGCTTCAGTGCTGGGCTCAGCACTACGGCCTGAATCTTTACCCAGCTTCCCAGGAAAGATACACGAGGCCCCTTGGCCTCCAGCACATTTCTTCTCTCCATTTTGGCTACCACAAACGGGCAGCAACAGTTGTTTGCAACTCTGGAGGAGGGGGGGAGGCTCCTTGTAAGGCCGTTCCTTACCGTTACGAGCGAGGAAAGAGTTCTCACATCAGTGCGAAGCCGATTTTAGTCTCCTTACTGGCAATTGTGATCGGCCAATTGTGATCGGCCCAATTGCTGAAGATCGCGTTCCGATCTGAGCGGCCACCATCTTGGCCACGCCCTGTTCTCCTTGCCTGAGGGGAATGTCGGTCCTTTCAGCTTTTCGTTGCAATGAAAGCCCACGCCTCTGTCGCGGTCGCAATTCGATCGCCGCTAGCCTGGTCTGGCCGGCCCCTTCCTCCCTGACCATTTCCACGCTCGGTATTCCATATAGGCATTATTAACCTTCACGGCCGCCATTTTAGCTGCTGTCTGCCAGGTCCGGCCTGCATCCCCGTGTGAACTCCCCATGTGGCCACCATTTTAGACACGTGGCGGGCCGCTTGCACGAAGGTGCCCTAGGCTGTGGTAAATTTGACATCCAGGCCGGCAGCAAGGCCACTCTGCGCTCAAACAGCTCGGGCCACTCTGGTGCAACTATTTTTGACCTGGCCACCAAAGGATTTCAGGGGCTGCGCACCAGTTGCCTGTCACGGCCTCTGCCACAGATTGACCCGCCCGGGGAGCATGCTGACCTCTTCCTCGTTGCCTCCAAGACCTCAAGGGGGCACTGAGTTGCCGGTCAGGTGGCCAGGGGAGCAGTGCACATTTCTCTGCTCCAGCTGCTTTAGCTAACCCGCCAATTGATCCCCTGCCAGAGCTCCCTCTCAGTACTTCGTGAGATAGCTCCCTTCGGGATGGAGGACTCCACAGTGCCCCAGCTCACGGCCACCGTCTCCCCATCCACTGGCCAAGAAAAACACAAATCCTCCAAACAGGAGGCGGCAGGCAGGATCAAGGCCAAGGCAAAGGCCATTTCCAGGAAGCCTTCCAAATTGGCAGAGAAACAGGCTAGCAGGAGGCACCAGGCCCTGGAGAAGGAGTTCTCCAGAGCGCAGAGGCAGGCCAGGACAGAGGCAGAGCAGGCCAGGGCTCCGGACTTTGACCTTCCACTGGGGCCTTCGACCTCTACCCAGGGGGTGTGGTCCCTGCAGGATAATACCATTTTACAACCCCCTCCCTCCGGGGCGGGTCACAATAGTACCACCCACCCAACTTCATTCACATCTGGGCCACCTTTACCCCTACAGCTGCCGAGCTCAGGGGAGTTGAACACGTAGGCACCCCTCTGATGATCATTAAAGCTCTGATCTCTCGGGCGGTTGACCGGGCACTTGCCGCAAGGTCCTACTGCATACCCGGGACAGAATCAATGGCAGCCGCATCTTCATCTTATTTTCCCCAGTCAGGGTCTCCCAGGTACCATGGTCCCCCCCTCAACTTCCTGCTCTTCATATAATGGGGCCTCTTCTCCAGCAGAGTACAACCAGTCAGATATCCCATGGTTGAAAGAGGAGAACTCCCCTCCAGACCCTCTTCCACCTTGGCTTTCCGCAGGACCCACCAGGCGGCGGCATGGGCGGTGAGAGCGGCCACTTGCGCTTCCTTCTTTACCAGAACCTCTCTCCTCTGGCTTCGTCAACCTCAAGCCAGAATCCCTCCAGAGGAGATACGCACTCACCAGGATTTGAGTAAGCTGGTTGCAGCGACAGAGTATGCCTATGATGCAACCTTGCAGGCGGCCAGATTCTCCTCCAAGTTCATCGCATCCAATGTCACAGCACGTCGGATGCGATGGCTTAAACATTGGCAAGTGGCATCTGGCTGCGGCCCCTTATCAAGGAGGGCATTTGTTTGGAGAGGTCCAAAATCCTTATTTGACCGAGAATAAGGATAAGTGTAAGGTCATGACACATCTCAACAGGCGGACTGACAGGCGTGCTAACCCGTACCCTTGTAAGCAGTCCTTTCGGTCAGGAACAGGCTCGCAAGCCTCACAGCCTCCCCGCCCTTTCACGGCTAGATAGGATCGTCCATCCAACAGACCTGGTTTCAGACCCAGGCAACAGTACCAGGGCAAGTGCCCCTTTCGTGTGGGAGGTCACCCCTTCAGGAGGTGCAAGTGACTCCCGGGCTGCCCCTCCCATAGGTGGCAGGCTATCCCTCTTTTTCCACCAGTGGGAGCTCACCACCACGGACTCCTGGGTCCTCGAAACTGTCCAATTCGGCCTGTCCCTGGAATTCATGTCCAGCCCACCGGGGCGCTTCATCTCTTGCCCCCAGTCACGGAATTCAATCAAACGGGGCCTCATGCAAGAGGCCATTCGTCATCTTCTAAACATAAGAGCCATAGAACCGGTACCAGCTAGTCAGAAGGGAGAGGAATTCTATTCCATCCTCTTTGTGGTTCCCAAGACCTTGGGAGGATGGAGGGCGATTCTAGACCTCAAGGGTCTGAATTCCCACATTGCATACCAGAAACTCAAAATGCAAATGCTCCAGTCCACCCTAGGCAGCATCAGAAAGGGAGACTTCCTGACGTCCATAGACTCACGGAAGCGTATCTCCACATCCCTATCCTTTCCTACCACCGGCAGTTCCTCAGGTTCTGTTATATGGGCCACTACTACCAGTACAGGGCCCTGCCGTTCGGACTCTCCTTGGCTCCCAGAGTGTTCACCAAGATCCTGGCGTTGCTTGCAGCACACCTAAGACTGGTACCGGTACGCATTCAATGCTACCTGGACGACATTCTCATCCAGTCACCCCCCCTTCTGGCAGCCCAGTCGGACCCGGTTTGTCAATCCAGGTCCTCCAACAGCACGGATCTTGGTGAATTTCCAAAAGAGTCAGACAGTTCCCTCGACCCGACTCCCACACCTGGGCGCCGTCATAGACACAGTTGGTTGCCTGGTCTATCTATCACAGGAGCGTCGGGACAGTATCCGGGATCTAACACTCAAGGTATGCAGGGAACGCGTAGTGTCGCTGGCCCTACTTTCCCAACTCTTGGGAAAGATGGTTTCTCGTATCGCCATAGTCCCTTGGGCCAAACTCCATTCCACGAGTTTCCAATGGTTTCTGCTACCCTTCCAGAGGTTGGGCACCAGTTCATCCAACCAACAGGTAAGGGTTCCTGCTCAAACCCTGAGATCCCTCCGTTGGTGATTCTCACCAGAGGTAGCCAGAGGGTCACTATTCAAGTAACCTGTCCATCTTACACTTACAACGGATGCCAGTATGTTTGGCTGGGGAGCGCACCTCTGGTCTCAGTTCGCGCAGGGCCATTGATCCCGTGCAGATCTGAGACACAACATCAACTGGTTGGAGCTCAGAGCCATACACCTGGCTCTCTGCCACTTCCACAACAAGGTTGCAAGGCAGCACGTGCTAGTCCTTACGGACAATGTGGGGGCAAAGGCCTATGTGAACCGGCAAGGGGGTACCCGGTCCAGGTCCCTCATGGCTGAGGCCCAGCTCCTGGGCTCCTGGGCAGAGACCAACCTTTCCTTCCTCAAGGCTGAGCACATCTTGGGGGAGGCAAACCGGCAAGCGGGCTTTCTAAGCAGGTCGACCGTGGATCACTCCGAATGGCACCTGCATCCAGATCTCTTCGCAGAGATGATGCGATGGTTCGGACAACTGGTCCTCAGTTTGTTCGCTTCTCCAGCGAACTACCAGCTCCTGAGACTCTTTTCCCAGTTCCCATCCCCAGGGGCGGAGGGAGCAGATGCCCTTCCAGCCCCAAAGCTGGGGGGGTCTGCTCTATGCATTTCCCCCTCTCCCCCTGATCCCGGCAAGTCATTCGCAAACTACTACTGGAATGGGCAGAGGTAATCTTCGTGGCTCCGTATTGGCCTCGGAGATCCTGGTTTGCCGACCTTGTGAACCTCTCCTGCTCTCCCTCATGAAGAATCCCATCGGATCGTGTATCTCTCCACCAGAGGGTTCTACGACACCTGGAACCCCAATGGCTACAGTTAGCCGCCTGGCACTTGAATGTCGGATCATGACCCAAGAATCGTTCTTGGCTAGAGCGATTTCCATTATTCAGGCATCTTGCCGGCTGGTGACCAATCGCATCTATGACTCCACATGGAGGAATTTTTGCCATTGGTGCGAAAGGCGGCAACTGAATATCTCGGACTTGACAATTCCACAGATTTTAGAATACCTCCTAGACGGCCTTGATAAGGGCTTAGCCCCTAATACCATCTGTAGGCAGTTGCGGCCCTATCAACATTACTTACCTGTGCCAATTCGGTCCCTTTGGACCAGCATCCCAGGATACGTGCCTTTCTGAAGGGTGCCACCAACACTAAGCCACCCGTGGTACACAGGTATCTCTCTTGGGAATTACCTCGGGTCCTACGGGCTCTCACCAAACTGCCGTTTGAGCCTCTCACAACTAGTGCTCTACGGTCCTTATCCCACAAGATTGCCTTCTTGGTCGCTATCACATCAGCCTCTGTATCTTCCACCGGGACCGGATGGTCCTTCGATTGGATCCCACATTTGTGCCCAAGATCAACTCTCTTTTTCATAGGGCCCAGGAGATTGTTTTGCCGGATTTTTGTCCTAATCCTTCCCATGACTTGGAGCGACAGTGGCATATGCTGGACGTCCGCAGGGCACTGCGTCGATACATCAAGTGAACGGCACCCTTTCACAGGTCCGAGGCCCTCTTCGTTTCTTTTCACCCTGCCTCTCTGGGACAGAAGGTGTCTGCCTCCACTATAAGCAGGCGTACCGGTCATTTTCCCTGTCAGCTCCAGGTCGTGTAATGGCTCATTCCACGCGCAGCGCTGCGACCTCTGCGGCATGGGCCACTCAGTCATCCATCAAAGAGATTTGTAGGGCTGAGACATGGTCTTCGCCTTCCCCATTTGTTAGACATTATGAAATAGATCGCTTTGCTTCCGCGGACGCCTCCTTTGGTCGGAGGGTCCTCCAGCAGGTGGTGTCTGGGGATGTGGACCCGGCCTTGTCTTTTTCCCTCCCATTGGGACAGTGAGGCTTTGGTATGTCCCATTGGTGGATTCTCCATTTCCTGTGCTGGAGAAGGGGCATTGTCTTACCTGAACGCCTTTTCTCAGCACAGAGATGGAGAATCCATTCCCACCCCTTAGGGTCTGTAAGGCCAGGGTTAGGGTTCTGAGAGCCAACATCTCCGGACTGTCGTCAGCTGCTTTCGCTCTCGTCAAGACTGGGTGTCTCCTAGCCCAGCAGGGGCGTGGCAAGTTTGGCTGACTTGGTCTCAAGAGGAAGAAGACGGAGCAAACCCATTGATGGATTCTCCATCTCCGTGCTGAGAAAAGGTGTTTTGAAAAAAACCTATTTACAGTGCTAAAATTTGATGACATCAGTATGGGCCATGAGTTAGGAAATTCTTCGTCCAACCATTATGAATACGTAAACAAGCCACAGATCTCTCCCTGTCAGGCTCTTCAGTATTGATCTAAATTTGAGACATTAAGAATTTTAGTGATAATGTTGAATGCTTGATAGGATTTCATAAACTCTTAGTGCAGTGGTCCCCAACTTTTTTGGGTTGGCGGCCCGGTGGGAAAGAGATGGGCAGACACCTTTATGTGCACGTGCGCATACACCCAAATGTGGCTGCATGCACGTGTGTGCGAATGGGGCCATGAAGGATGTTAGAGTGGTGATATATTCATGCTCTGCATTTCTCTTATTTATTTCTAAAATGCTGTACTTCCTCTTCACAGCACTCACCAAATCTTCTGTTAGCTTACTCTCTTGGGATTAAAATCAAATGTATGACTTGCCCCAGTATTGTGGATACAAACTTCTATAGCACATACAGAGCAAGGCAGAGCTTTGCATACATACAGTGTGAATGATGAAAAATATGAATGGAAATGAATTGCCAGTTATGCACATCATATATTTTTGGCTATCAAAGATGTATTTTCAGAATTGGGCTGCATCTGCTAAATTTAGGCATAATAGTTTGTGTATCACATTAAGTCATGATGTGGCTTGTTTAATTTCAGTTGTAAACTTTAGCGTTTATGAACCATGGAGAATATCTTAACATGTACCTGACCTTTGTAGCTTAATCAATAAATATAGCTAAAATAGCTATGACTTTGCAATGGAGTCCATGTCTTTGCTGACGTAGAGAATTTCTGTTTAGCTCCACCACCACCTCCACCTATGATACGAAATGGTGGAAGAGATGCACCTCCACCGCCTCCACCCTACAGAATACATGGGTCTTCAGATCCCATGAATCGTGGGAAACCACCCCCTCCTCCTACCAGAACACCAGTTGGACCACCTCCTCCTCCCCCACCAATGAGAAATGGACATCGGGACTCTATCTCTACAGTTAGGTCTTACTTGGGTGAGTAAAAAGAGCCTGTTGTTCTGATAGATTTCTTTGACATTCAAGTTTAATAGGGAAATATTCAAGATTCTAGACTACCCAGAAAGGAATGGCTGTTACTAATCTTCTTTGTTTAATTCTGAAGATTATAAAAATATTTAGATTAGCCAGGATAATTTTTTATTTTTCTTTTTTATTGAAATATGTTTTATTAATTTTTAACATACACCTTAATATTTGGTAAATATCATGTCTGGGTTAATGTTTAAAAATAATAACAATTTCTATAATTCTATAGTCCATATAATAGCTTTACTAGATTTCCTCTTCTTCCAGTAATATTCTCTTTTGCTAGCCTTAATTTAATACAGCTCTTATTTAAATAAATGACAATTAAATAGAAACATTTTTCTCATGTTTCTGCAAATAATAACCACATCAATATAAATCATTTTTTATTAATCATTTTAATTGCCTGTTTACATTCTTATTTAAATTTGTTTTCCCCACAATATTCAAAACATTCTTACTGGTTAAGATTTTCTTAAAATTAGTTACACTTAAGTATTTAAGTCTTTTTTATTATTTTAATAATAATAATAATAATAAAGTTGGAAGGGACCTTGGAGGTCATTGAGTCCAACCTCCTGCTCAGGCAGGAAACTTACACCATTTCGGACAAATGGCTGTCCAGTCTCTTCTTTAAAACTTCCAGTGTTGGCCATCACATTTTTACATTTCCCATGTCTTAAAGAAAAATAAGAGGAAAAAAACCCCAAGAAGTTTAGAGTTTATAATTCTCACTTTGTAGAAAGCCTAAGATGTTTTCTTTTTTTCTTTGTCACAGCTGTTCTCTGTTAGTAAGACGCTGAAAGTCACCAGTATCAAATTTATCTTTTTCTGAGCCCTGCCAGTTCCTGTAATAGAGCAGCTGTTGTATATTTTCATCCACCACTAGATGTCAGCACCAGTTCTTTCAGTTCTTTTCAGTAATAGATAATTATTTACTTCTATTTTCATGATATAAAAGGAAAATCTTAACAGATTCCACCAATTTCAAACTTATCCAAATTAAGTCTTATATTCTTTTTATTTCAATATATTTCTGTTCCTCCTGGAAGGTTTAATTCGCCGCTTCCATCTGCAGGAGGATGAGGCAAAGGTCCCCCTTCTCACTTTCGGAGGCTTTTTGCTTCTTGGGGTTTTTCTTTTCTTTTTTTCCAGGAAATCAATTTTCAAGTAGAAGAGAGAAAATCACTGTTCTCACCCAGTTTTAAACATATTGTTTACAGTTAGCTTGAAGTAGTACTTTTGGACTTTGGTTGTTTGTAGCTTGGGCTAGATTTGGAAGTTAAGCTAGCTTCTTCTGCTGGTTTCTGGAGGGCTTTTCCCAAACCGATCAGATCAACCGCCATCTCTCTGCAATCGGCGGGACTTTCCCCCTTCTATGTTGCCTCTGTCTATGAGGCAACTTCAGGCCCATTTAGGGTCCCCTGATTTTAGGACAGAAATCAGCCATAGGGTGCGGAGCCCTGCAATTCTCAGCTGCAGCGCTACTGCGCAAAACTGGAAAGCGAGAGAATATTTTCTTTTTGAGGATGTAGTGGTAAAATCAAACTCTGCTGCTCGATGTTAGGAGCCAGCTATAAAATGTAACATTTTTGCCTTACATATTGGTATCAAATTATATACATTTGATGCTTAAAATTAATCTGTTAGTCTAGTGAACCTTCCAAATGTAATTACAGTAGAATAGAAGTTTATCATATTGTAACTGCAAGAAAAAAAGTAGTTTTAAAAAGTTGAGTATCTGTAATCTAATACTCTGTGGGATACATATGGAACTAGTTCATTTTATGTTTTATGTTGCTTTTGATATTCTGATCAAAAGTTATCTGGATACGCGACTTCCGGTGGATCTGCACGCGCGATGGCGGCTACTTTGTAGCCGTCCTGGGTGTTTGAATCGTTATGAACAGCGGCCATCAGCTGTTCAGCGGTTCAAAATCCCCCTCCTGGGCAAAGGGGGGGGGAAGAGGGTTGTCTGAATAGTGGTAGAGCCACTCTCATGCACCCCCAAGGCTTTTTTGGGGGGGTGAGAGGAGTGCTCCCACGGAGTTCAGACTGTCTCCGCTTCCCAGCTGCTTTTGTCCCTAGGGACAAAACAAGCCGCTGCAACCACCTCCGCGATTAAAGTGATCTGGTGAGTTTCTTTTTTAGAGGCGGACAGAGCTGAGTAGAGCATTTAGCTTTTGCTTTCTTTGATTTTATTTGGATTTTAAGTTTAAAGATTTACTTTTACTTTTATATTCCCTCTTTTTATTTTTTTTCCTTTTGTTGAAAGGGAAAGTAAAATGGCGATCGGCAAGCCTTTCGGTTTTTTTTTTTTCCTTTGGGAAGGTAGAATGGCGATCGGCAGGCTTTTTGGTGTTTTTTTTTTATCCTTTTCCTTTTTTTTTAATGATTGGAACGGAATGTGGATTTGATTTTGATGTTGGGTTTGGATTTTAGAAGCATTATTATTTTTGTTTAACTTCTTTGTTTTGCTTTTTGTACTTTTAAAAAAATGGAATGGATTTTTTCTATTTAATTATTTTTTTCTTCTTCCCTTTTCTTTTTTTAACTCCTTTCTTTTTATTATAATGATCTCCTTTTGAAGGATTTTTTGATTTTTTGGAGTTAATCTCTCTTTTTCTTTTGTTTAATTTTTGTAATTTTTAAGAAGAAGTAAAGATTTTTCTAAGATGGCTCCAAAGCGTTCAGTATCTTTTTGTTATAATGATCTCCTTTTGAAGGATTTTTTGAATTTTTTTGGACTTAATCTCTCTTTTTCTTTTGCTTAATTTTTGTAATTTTTAAGAAGGAGTAAAGATTTTTTTTAAGATGGCTCCAAAGCGTCCAGTAATTCCTACAGCTCCTAAGGTGGTTTCTTCTTCGGTGTTATCATCAGTGCAACAACCTAAATCAATAGCTTCACCCTCTTCCTTGGTACAGCCAATAATTGTGAAGGATTTGCAAGATATGATGGGAAATGTTATATCTCAAATTAGGGCAGAAATGAAAGAGATTTTAGAGGAAAATAATAAGATTTTGAGGCAAGAGATAGTTTTGGCTCTAAAAGGAGTTGCCTCTGTTCTTGAAAAGCTGAACTCTCGTGTAGAAGAGGTAAGAAAAAGTGGAATTGATGGAGGGAAAATTTGAAAGCATGGAAAAAGAAATGGAAAATGAGATTCTTATGCTTCAATATAGACAAATGGAATATGCCTTAAGAATCAGAGGTTTGGGAGAGTCTGTGCAAGGAGATCTGAGAGAGATGGTTGCAAAGGACTTTGCTGTGATTTTGAATAAAGAAAAAGAGGAAATACTTAGTGAAATTGAAAAATTATTTAGAGTTAACTCTGTGGTGGCAGTGCAAAAGAATTTGCCAAGAGATGTGGTAATTTACTTTGGGAAAAGATCCCTGCGCAACGAAATTATACAAGCTTTTTATAAGAAGAGATTTCAAATTGCTTCACAAGATGTTATAATTCTAAAGGAGATCCCATCTAAAATTTTAAGAAGAAGAAAGGAGTTTGCTTTTTTAGCAGATGAACTTAAAAAGAGACGAATCTTGTTCAGATGGGATGTTCCGATTGGAATGGTGGTGAATTACCTGGGGATATGTTATAGACTTAATACTGTTTCTCAAGCAAAAGACTTTTATACTTCGGTCCTGGGGGTATGTTCATCGCCATCTATTAAGTTTAAAGCTTTGGAAGAAAAGAAGGTAGAATTGCAGTCTGAAGAGCCTATACTTATGAAAATTGGGAAACCTCAGTTTGAGGGGCCTCAACAAGTTGAAATGGAGGAGCAGAGGATAACCTGTGCAACATATAACTGTAAAGAAAAGGAGCAACAGAAGAAGGTTAAGGAAGCCTCACAACTATTGGTTTCTGAATCTGCGGGAGAAGTAGGATTTATAAATTTTTTGGAGCAACCTTTAAGGGTAGAATTGCAGTCTGAAGAGCCTATATTAATGAAAAATGGGAAATCTCAGTTTGAGGGGCCTCAACAAGTCGAGATGAAGGAGCAGAGGACAACTCGTGCAACATATAATCGTAAAGAAAAAGAGCAACAGAAGAAGGAGTTTAAGGAAGCCTCACAAGTATTGGCTCCTGAGTCTGTGGGAGAAGCAGGATTTATAAACTTTTTGGAGCTACCTTTAAGGGCAGATTTCAAAGCACTTCTTTCGAGATTTATGGATAAGAGAGACTGACAAGGATGGAGATCGAATGAAAATTCTAGATAAGAAGTTTAAGTTTAAGTACTTAGTTTAAGTATTCAAAAGAGTACTGAGTCTGTGGGAGAAGCAAGATTTACAAACTTTTTGGAGTTAGCTTTAAGGGCAGTTTTCAAAGCACTTCTTTTGAGGTTTATGGACAAGAGAGACTGATAAGGAATGTGTTTATTGTGGATGGAATTTGTTATTGGTAAAGATTTAAATGTGTATAAGGGAATTTTAATGGTTTATGGACAAGAGAAATTCATTAGGAATGTGTTTATTGTGGATGGAATTTGTTATTGGTAAAGATTTAAATGTGTATAAGGGAATTCTAATGTTTTAAGTAATGTTCAGATTTGTGTTTTGGAGGGAGTTTATAAAGAATGATGGATAATAACATAAGTATGATATGAAAAGGTTCAGAGTATATTATAATGTGTTTAATGATTGGGGTTTTTTTAATTATTATTATTATTTTTAAGAGAAGATAACTTGTTTAATTAAATGTATCTAGATTTGTTTAGGATTTATATGTCTTTTAAGTTTTTTTTTTTGATAGGAGAGAAGATTATGGAGATTGAATGAAAATCTTAGATAAGAAGTTTAAGTTTAAGTATTTAGTTTAAGTATTCAAAGAGTATTTAGTTTTAATGGTATAATGAAGGTTTATATGTTTATTTTTGTGTTCTAGGATAAAGAAAGAGGGAGAGATTAGATTTTATATTGTAGGTATAGATATTCAAAGAAAGTAATGTTTAAATTTGTGTTTTGGAGGGAGTTTATACAGAATGATGGATAATAATATAAGTATGATACTAGAAAATGTTTAGAGTATATTATAATGTGTTTAATGATTGCAATTATTATTTTTTAGAGAAGATAACCTATTTAATTTAATGTATTAAGATTTGTTTAGGATTTATATGTGTTTTAAGTTTTTCTTCTCTTTTTCTGAAAATTTTTAATTAAGCCTGTACTCAGCTCTGGGAAGGTTGGGGGAGGGTTTGGGAGGTTTGGGGAGCTGGGGGAGGGTATGGGAGGGTGGGGGGGTTTGGGGAGGGGATTTGTTTTGTAAAATTTAAAAAACTTTCAATAAAAAAAAAGTTATCTGGATACGCAAAGAACATGATATGTATTTTATGTAAGTTGCATTTCCAAATAGCAGTAGTTTCTTTACTTTAGGTGCCAGGTGACATCTTGCTGAATTGTGCCACAAATGTTCTATCTATGAAGTCTAACTACCTCATGATTTTAGTTGGCCATTTTCATCTTGCACAGGAGTCTTACAAAGCTTTAATGATAACAGCAGCAGGATGCGTGTGACTTTCAGACTTATCTACCAAAATCCACCATTTTGTTTTTGTTTTTTGAATCTTCTACAGATGACTTTGAATCCAAATACTCTTTTCATCCAGTTGAAGATTTCCCAGCTCCAGAAGAGTTCAAATATTTTCAGAGAATTTATCCCAGCAAAACTAACAGAGGTAAATACTAAACTGTAATTTAGTACACTGCAATGTTGAATCACAATTTGCAAACTAGCAGGCTTAATAAAGGATTTAAGAACAATCCATGGGGCAAAAATGCTGCCTCCAACAGGATGAGTCAAATTGTGTTTATCATTAATTTACTTCTACAGGTAGTTAATTTATTCGGTGGCTATTCGAATAATGGCATTGAATGAGGGTTAGTTATAACAGATTCTCATACTTATGGCTGCCACAGCATTCCACGGTCAAACGTTCACCATTTTTGACCTTCACTGCTGACTTTTATGCAAAATCATGGGAAAATGTCAAGAGGTCACAAATGGTGATCATGTGATCACAGGACACTGTGATCAAGTGGGATTTGCCTAACAGTGCCAACTAGGAACTGCTGAAATAGCCATCACAAGTTGGCACAGTCTCGTGACATTACCCTTATGACCATGTTGCTTAGTGATGCAATTCCCAGTTCTAAATACTGTTATTAAGTGATTGTTTCTTTGATTGTTCCAAATTATGCCAATTGTGCAGCCTTATATATGTTATGCCCATAGTTCTAAAATTGCCATGGAACCATAGTAAACTCATAAGAATGCCCGGTCTGATTGATTACACCTTGGCATTTTTTTGATTGCTATACTGCAGTTCTATTTTATATATATAAAATCACTTTTGCCTTGCCTTTATGGGATTCGAACCTAGGCAGCTTACATGCTAGACAGTTGTATTAACCACCAGGCCACCGGCTCTCCTCCCCTCTTTGTCAGCCGAGTCAAGGGAATATATACAGAAAGTTTTTTAGACAGACCGGTTAGCAAAAAAAAATATATCTATCTATCTTAGGATGAAAACATCCATGTAAAAATTTCGTGGTCTTTTTTGTTTTGGGGTCATGGTTCTTGTAGAAGAAAGCACCTGAATATATAATACCCATATATTAACACCCACTCTTATCTTTTCAGCTACTCGTGGGGCCCCTCCTCTGCCTCCTGTCCCTAGGTGAAAAACAGCAAATGAGCATTTTTGCTTAGCACCAAAACTTGTTCTTAAATTCTCTTCCCACCTCCAAAAAGCATTCCTCAGAAATCTGCATGAAAAATACATTCCTGCTTTTTTTAATTGCAAGAAACTGGATGAACTTATCATTACTCAACTTTCTCTATGCATTTCACTCTCTGACATAAAAAGGCATCTGTTGGCTTAGCCAGGTGAGAATACTCCTGCAGATCAATGCTAATTTCCTCCCTTTCCTGCTATCTTTGTCACAAGGGGAGGGAAACCCACAGTTCATAAACACTACAGTTCAAGAACAAGGGAAGAGTGAATGTTTCCCAGGAAAGAAAACCAATCAGAACAACAAAACTATGGGCCAAGTTGAAGTGGTTATTTATAGATGCTTGCTTATCATAAGGAAGGAAATGGCCACAATTGTATGGATTAGGGAACATTAATTCTTTTTTAAAAGGCTGTGCTATGAAAATAATTGAAATGGCTCCATTTTTCATTGCAGGCACCACATATTCAGTTATTAAACTTTGTAACTTAAAGCAGGAGGAGAAAGATGAACTAAATGACATGTCTTAAAGACAGTTTAAAAAATTGATAAAGCTGCATAAGAATAGTAGTATCTGTAGAAATGCTCAAAAAAGCAGGCAAGTACAGCAGTTACCATGCTATGTTTTGGCAGAGTTGTTGTCTTGCAAATCTGGAACCCTAATCTTTAATTGTCAGTTTCTCCAAAAGATAGCTGGCATCCTAAATGAAGCTTCTCAAAATCTACAGAATAAAAGATACCATGGTAGAGATGAACAGATTGTAAAGTCTAATAGCTATCACTGATTTCTGCATTGTATTAAAAAAAAAAGGCATGACTGTTATTGAGGAACTAGCAGCCCCTGAAAGTGAAAAGAATGATGTCCTGACAAATACTGGGGATGAAGAACTAGTTTATAGCAAACTAGTGGATAAATGTTGCAATACAGTGCTGGCCATAGATAATACATTGAAGGTGCTATACCACTATAGAATAAAATATATATTATATTCCAACTTATTAGAATTTCTGATACCTGAATGTCCTGTGTCTTCAGAAGATCCATCTTGCTCTCATTAACAAAAATGCCCAGCTTCATTGTCTTATCCTATGAATATTTTTCAGACATAATCAGTCTTGAGAATGTAACCATCTATTGCTGAGGGATGGCAAAACATCTGAGAAGTATTCTGTTTTTTTGCTGAGAAGTGGATGGGCGCTGGCTACTACCAATTCCAGAGCGTCATTGACTGTCTGAAGGTCCCATTGGCATACATTCCAGTCTAGTAATGGGGAACATACCTTTAATGGCAAACTTCCAGTTAAAATTTTTAAATGACATACCATTTTGTTCTAGCTCAAAGCTGATCTTTAGTGGTTAGTACCTACTTCAATGAAATAACTTTGGAAATGATAGAAACTGGTGAAATTCCTTCATATTTTATTTTTGCTGGTTATACACAATTGACAAAGTTTTCTGTGGTTCTTGCACAGACATTTTATGAGGTGGAGGGTTGTCAGTTATGTTTGTGTCTTTTAGGATGCTTGTTAGGTCCTTTGCAAGAATGCCACTAATTCCAGCTAGGCCTCTTGGTGGTGTCATAGGAAATTCTATAGTGCTGGCCTTGTCTCTGAGATCAAAAGAGGTATTTACATTTGGCCTTTTCCCAGTATCAGAAAAAGGCCAAGGATGGATTGCACATCTGCTTCTCAACATAGTAGTTTACACTGCTGAAGACTCCCCTATGGGGATGCATCTCTCTCTTTCTCTCTGTCTCTCCCTCTCTCTCTTCAGATAAATTTTTTAGAAAGCAGATTCCAGCAGTAAAAATGCCCAGTTCTGGATTAGACACCACTAAGCAGACTCTGAAGCAGAAGCAAATTTTTCATCTCATTTTATCTCATGCTCTGCAGTTGGTTGTAACATCAAGCTTAGATTGCTGGTTGGTGTTTTGCCTTATACAGTGGTTTTGTTATGTATTGGTACCAGATTTATTATAATTATTATGTGTATTTACTTTTAAAATGTGGCATTGGGAAATTTGTGTTATAATGATAAATATTGATCTATTTTGTATGTTGTAAAAAGTTTGTTGACTTGCTAGCCCTACACTACAAAAATTCCTTTACCACCTAATTTTTTTTTATGATGATGGAAATTTGTCTGCTTTTAAGTTAATGACTGGGCAGTCCCTCATGTTGAGGGACTAATGCTTGGTCAGAGGAATTTCTTTTTTTCTTCTGAAAGAAAATTAAATCTTATCCAGCATAACTCGCTGGGAAGAGAAGTTAAATGCACTGTGCATTTTGGGGAGGGGTATTAATTTTTTTTATTATGTTCTGTATAATGTTGGCTTCCAGTGAGTATATCCTGTGGGAAGCACTGTGAAGGGGGTTCTTAAGCTTGAAATGGCAGTCAAATGGAAACTGAATACAAGAGGCATACAGTCATACTTGCACATTCTGGTCCAAAACGCTGCTTTATTTCTTCTTGCTGCCTCTTGCCCACATCCCTTCCTGGGCCAAGTTGTCTGGTGGTTTAATTATGTGAGTGGGCAAGATGTATTTGCTTTTCCTTGCTAAGGCAAGAGTTTTGTACATAGTGAATTTAGCACATACATTTTCATACGCATTCTGAAAACATTCAGAGAAACCATATATTTGCAACTAGCACTACCAAGATAAAAATCTTAATTGTCTTATAAATCACTTTCACCAGTCTAGTGCCCCCATTTGTGTTGGCTGCAATATCCAATAATTCTAACCAAGGTAATTATGTTGGTTAAAACTGATGGCAAGTATAGTCTTATCATCTGTGAGATCCATTTTAGGGGAGACTGCCTTAGGTTGATTTTGAACTTACAGTCTTAGTTGCTCAGAAAATCTTCTATTTGTATCTGGGAAACTAATTTTGTAGACTCTCACAGAGTCTTCATCCCAGTCTTCTTCTTGCTATTGTTTTAATGCAATTTAAAGTAGAATATTAGGAAATGTTTTACACTCTTTTCCTATGGTACCTCTAGTTTTAAGGATGGTATAGGTTAAAGTATGATTTTTTTGTTCTTCACAGTGTATCTGATCTTTTCTTAAGGTATGAAATGATAGAAATATCAGTTCAGTAATATCTAGTTTCTTTAGTTGACCCAAGAATTTTTAAAAGTTTTATCTGTCTGATTTCTTGAGGCAATTCTACAGTTTTATATTGTTTATCAACAAATATGCCCACACAAAGAAGATTCAAAAATCTTTATATGATTTCTTGAGGCAATTCTACAGTTTTATATTGTTTATCAACACATATGCCCACACAAAGAAGATTCAAAAATCTTTATATGTACAAGAGGTATACAGTGATGCTGTGAAGGCTAATCACAATCTACTAGTACAAAATGAGAGGAACCATTGCAAAGAACTGTGTGTCCTGCTATCCTGTAACTAACTGTAAGTTTCAGATGTTGTGAACATGAATTTTAAGAATTGGGTTTTTCTCTTATTTTTGATGGTTTAGGAGAGGGCCTTTGTAGCTTTTTAACTCTCCCCCAGATTTTATGCAGCCCTTTTCCATGCTGAAATATATCAATTTTCCATTGCAGCTGTGCAGGTATGCCAAGGAAAAGGCTTTTATGAGGGGTGTAATGTTTGTGTTATTTAATAGCAAATGCTTCAACCTTCATTCATAGTGCCTTATCCTTAAATAGCTCCCAATGGAGTTTTGTATCTGTGTGCATGCATAGAAATTTGGCTCTTGCAAGCTTCATGCACACTCTGTCCTCCCTCACTGTCTATGCTCAATAGTTTCATTTCTATTTACTGCAGAAACACTACTGAGAATAGTTCCTGTAGTTTCAAGAACCAGAATTTGAGTCGATTGCACTGCTGCTTTTGTTTCAGATCTGATCTTTCCCTTTCACAGAAAATGTCCTTTTGGAGTTTTTCCTTTGCAAGTGTTTCAAGTAAATTTCTTTAGGTTCTTGGGGCAGTGAAAGAATTCTTGAGTCCATTGCAAGGACACATGTGGACTTGTTTTAAAGAAAAAATTTCTTAATGGGACTTGCATGTAATAGTCTTTCATAATTTTATTATCCTGATTAAATAATTGTGAGAATTCTCTTGATGTGGCATTAGGAGGAGTTTGATTTTTAAATCATTTTGATAATTTTCACATTAAACAGTCAAATACTTCATGTTCATCTGAATTCCACAGATGATAAACATACTGTAGATCAGTGTTTCTCAAGCTTGGCAAACATATGTGGACTTCAATTCAGAGAAGGCTGCTAGCTGACTGGGAATTGAAATCACACATCTTCAAATTGCCAAAATTGAGAAACACTGCTGCAAATCATTTTCCTACATTTTTTAAAAATATAAACAGTCCTTTTTTTAAATTGCTCTCTCTTAGTGGGATCTTTCAAGAACCATTGCCTCTCAGTTTTTTCCCCCACTTGTACGGCACAATAATTACTGTATCAATCAACAGAAGACATGACTATACAATTTCCTCTCAAAGGTAGAAGTCATTACTCGTTTGGGAAAATGCAAAGTGCTCCAAGTACAGTATAATTATATAGCTCTGAATGGGAAGATCATTCCCTCTTCCTCTTCAATCTGTATCATTAATCAACCATCTTAGTTTCAACATGCAGATCAATCATGTTCCCTACAGTTGAGATGAGAATAGCCTGTGAAGATAGCATATATTGAAAGGTTGATTTTGGGGAAGGAGAAAAGAACATTATTTTTATTCCCTAGTAGCTATGTTTGATAATGCTGCCTCTTTTAATATTTCACTACTTCATAAGACACTGTATCTGACCGCAGGAAGTGGTGCTGTCTCTTATTAAAATTGTAGCTGCATTGACTGATGCAGAAGTGAGTCTGTGTCCATGATCTAATAAATTAATCAAATACAAATATTGTTTCTGCAATTTGTTCTCTGTTTAAGCACATGTCACTAATATCTAGCATTGAATATGTCAGGTATTTTTATTTATATCCCATTATATTGATCCAGGGTTATTTGAGATTTCACAAATCAGTCCACAAGAAATTCACACAATCTGCTTTTAGAGACTTTTGAGGAAACGAAGAGCAAACCAATAATTTTTTGCATTGAGCAATTTCTAATATAACCTAGAGTACAATTTTTGCTATGATTTATTTTATTTTCATGTATTTTTCTGACTGAATTGTCAAATGCAGATAGGCCATAGTATTCCCCTTTTCCTCCTGCCTCTTTTTTTGAAGAAAGTTTGCTGTAGGAAAGGAAGTGATAACTTCCTTTATTATATAGATCAGTGGCTCTCAAACTTTTCTATACCCCGCACCCCTAAAATGCTTCTGATATATTCTCGCACCCCTTACAAAAGTTTGAAATAACGGCAACGAATTATGCATATAACTATAATTTTGAAAACCCACGTTTTTGCATCCCCTGGAATATCACCTCGCACCTCTGGTTGGGAACCCCTGGTATAGATAAACCTCAATTAACTACTGCCTCATTTTGTGATGATTCTAACTTATAATAGTGCTGAAAAAGTAGATTTACAACTGGTCCTCAAACTTACAGCTATCACAGCATCCCATGGTCAGCTGATTGCCATTTGTAACATTTCCAGTCAGATTCCGCCCAGCAAAATCAATTGGGAAGCCAGTAGGAAGTTGAAAGTTGTGGGCATGAGATACCATGCTGAATGATTGCAGGTGATTTGTTTAACAATTACAATGAAACTGACATTCATAGGTGTGATTGTTTGATTCACTTAACAATAGTGCTGCTTAATGATGTGATTATTGGTCTCAGTTAATGATTGTTACATGAGGACTACCTATACAATGAATTTCCCAATGAAACCCATATTTTTAAATTATTTTCATGAATGTTTTGACAGATCTGGAAGAGAAGGATTTGTATGTTTTTGAAATCCTATTTGTTTCCTATCAAACTATGACAGGTATCATGATTAAAACATTTAGCACTTGCTACTCTAAAATTTGAATCTGATCTAATCTGAAAATAGATTTACATAGCCTATGGAACTCATATGTATCAAATTAGGCAATTAGTGAAAATAGTATATGCTGTTACATTTGAAAGATTATGTGGTACTAAAGGCTGAAATGTATACAGATATACTAACCAAGAACTATAGAGGCTGTAAAAAGTCGTGTCACCAATTTAGTTATTCCCAGATGCTTTGGACTACAGCTGTCATAAATAATAAATTAGCCAGTTTGCTCACATATTATATGGGAATTGTAGTTTTAAACGTCTGGAGAGCATTGTCTCTGCTCTGCTACAATTTCCATTTTTACTTCCAAGTGGAAACACTCGATAGTTTTCGCAGCCTTCCAATTTACAGAATTCACAACCCGCAAAAATTCAGCTCCCGTGGCTTGTATGAGCATGCTCCTTCCCCTCTAGAAAAAAAATTACGCTGAGCGCGCTTTTTTTAGCTGCTTCCCTTTCATTTTGCAGCAAGGTTCGATGGGAAATGTAGTTCTGTTTGCTAAGAGTGGCAAGCGACTCGTTTCTGCTATCTTATCCGGGAAGGAAGATCCTCCTGGATAACTGGTGTAGTGCTGTATTGCACTATTTTTTTTTTTTAATGTGAAAGAAGAGGGGGGGGGAGATAAGTTGAGCTGCAGGGAGAGTGGCGTAGAAGGGGCAGGGCCAATGAAATATGCGTTCGGCGCGAAGAGTGGCGATTGGTTGGAAAGGAGCAGCACCGCTTGGAATAACCAATTGGCAATAACCGAACGGCTAGAGCGCGCGAGGAGAAATTTTGCCAGTGAATCGGGAAGAGGTGAGCGAACGACAAGCGTGATCCGGTGTCCTAACTCGACAAGCTCCCAAGGATTCGGTTTATGGTGGGTATTGGATCTCGGGGCAGTCAGGAAAGGGAAGTATAGAGATTGAGGAAGGGAACTTTGTATATGCTGGAAAGAATCAGCTGTCCAGCGCAAGATTTAAAACCAGAATATGCTGCCAGCGAGCCCGTGCCCGATATATTGGACGGTAGTTCCCGTTTCATAGCATTTTTTTTTAATACTAGGTTTGGGGATAATTCTGTCAGAAAGGATAGAAGGCGTGGTAGAATGAAGAGGGCATAATGGAGAAGGCCGCGCTAAGGAACACGCGCCATTGAAGCATGTTTGCGTTTCCTTTCCATCTAAGTGGCAGCGATTTGGGGAGGGCGACCCAAAAGAAAAAAAAATATCGTGGGGTAGGAAGAGGCTGGTTGCCCGTTCCCTCGTGCAACTTCTTCCGTGAAAAAGTAAGTCAGCCTTACTTTGCCTCGGATGTTGCAACAACTCAGGGCATGTTGCAACATCCGAGGCAAAGACCATGTTGGCTATAGATAGAGGAGGGAGGTGTTGTGATCCGGAGAACACGAATTTTAAAACTGCCCAACAGTCAAAGCTCTCTGGATTTACAATAAAACACTAAAATAATAAAAACGTGAACAATAAAATTCAAAATACAGACATAATACAGATCAAATAGCTGCAAGGGGGACCAAAATTAATTAGCATGAGAAAATAAAAAGGCCTTCATCTGGTGCAAAAAATAATATCAGTGTGGATGTCAGTTGAACTACTGTTGAAAGGAAATTCCATAAATGGATTGCTACCACAGAAAAAGCTGTCCCCCTTGTAGAGGCCCATCTCATTTCCTTTGGGAAAAGGCTTCATTTAATGGTTTTAATGTCTGGGTAAATATATATATTGGAGAATTGAGAGTTTTAAAAGTTTATTTTGAAAGTCCAAGTGTTAGCATCTAGAACAGTAGTTCTCAACCTTTTTAATGCCGCGACCCCCAACCGGTCATAAGTTGAGGACTACTCAACCGGTCGTAAGTCGAGGACTACTCAACTGGTGCAGCACCGTTTGCAGAATGGGACTTTTGGCTGGCTCAGCAGGGCAGAGACAGCCTGGACAATTCCTACTGGCTTTTGAAAGCCAATAGAATTAGACTCTATTCAAGAGAGTCTATTCTATTGGCTTTCAAAAGCCAATAGAATAAAAGGGAGTAGCACAGCTAAGGAAAAGGGGGGAAAAATGGCGGACCGCGTTGTTTGGCGACCCCCATGAAATGGTCGTTCGACCCCAAATGGGGTCCCGACCCACAGGTTGAGAACCACTGATCTAGAACTATTCTGAAACCAAACTGCTGCTTCAATGCTTTAAAGCTCAGAATTAAAATGGGAGAAATTTTTCTTGTTATTTTTCATTTAACTCATGCTGCCTAGTAGCGGATATATTTAGATGAAACCATATCTGGAAGTATTTCAACACTAGAGCATGAACAAGCAATGGGGCATGTTATGCATCTTTGTGATGTTTGATAGATTTAATAAGTTGGCATCAATCAAAATTTAAAGCTAGGATGAGTGCATGTTTTCTGATAATGTTTAGGATTTTATTACATTTAACATTACAAAGGAAATAAAGAATAAGGAAAGGATAAGCAAACAAGGGATGAAGAAACAAACAAATTGCAAAATAATTGTAATTAAACTTGAGAACCAAAATACGCTCAGAAGAGTGGGACATGCAAAATCCCTGGTGATTCCTTGGATATATCAATGTATTTTTACTGGTAACATTATGGAAATGGTTGACCGCTGTCTTCTAGGATTGTTTTTTAATTTCTCAGTCTACTCTTGAGGTTTCATTCTGGTCTCCCTTTCAAGTAGCCAGGTTTGACACTTGTCTGAATTAAGATAATATTTCCCTCCTGTTGGGTAGGAGGGAAATATTCTATACTTTAATCCATTTTGATTTTGTTGATGTAAGAAAAAAAATATCAACAGCAGATAGAATACCTGGTCTAGCTAACTTATAGACTATTTGTAGAGTATTAGAGATTTGTAGACAATACTTTGTGTAGTTTGAATACTTATCTTTTTTTCTATGTTTGGTTCTAGTATGTTCATCATGCCCGGTACCAGGTCACAGTCCCAGAGCCAGAAGACTATAGACTTTCCAAAGCGAAAATCAGTTAGGACACTTCAGAAATCATTGGAGAAAAAGAAGGGTTCCCATCTAGATTCAGCAACAGTACCAGTCTCTTTGTCATATTCGCCAAAACAGGTCTTGCCTCTCAGTCCCCACAAACGCATAGGTAAGTTGTCTTTCCTTATACCTCCCAAATATCGTAGCATAATGTTGAATCATTATCTTAAAGATCATTTTCTTTAAAATTAAAGTAATAGAAAGGGTTGACAAACTACAGGTAGTCCTTGACTTACAACTGTTCATTTAGTGACCGTTTAAAATTACAATGGCACTGAAAAAAGTGACTTATGACTGTTGCAGATGTCATGTGATTTACATTTGGATGCTTGACACCTGGTTCATATTTATAATGGTTGCAGTGTCCTGGGGTCATGTGATCCCCTTTTGCAACCTTCTGACAAGCAAAGTCAATGGGAAGCCAGATTCACTTAATAACTGTTATTAATTTAACAACTGCAGTGATTCACTTAACAAATGTGACAAGAAAAATAATAAAATGGGACGAAGCTCACTTAACAAATTTCTTACTTAGCAACATAAATTTTGGGCTCAGTTGTGGTCGTAAGTTGAGGACCACATATAATTGCTTATAAATGGAAAATTTCCAAAATATATGAATCCAAAATATTCAAAGTTGAATGTTAAAAATACTATGATTTTGCCAAATTGAATGGTGAGATTAGACAAATTATGCGCTGAATTAAACTTGCCTATTCGATTCTTTGGCATTCTAAGTCTATAAAGGCACAGGCTATGACACAGTTATTTTTGCGGGAAATGTTAAGTCTCGTACTGTGTATAGATTTAAGCACATATGAAATAAAAATGCTAAATATTATCCTCTGATTAATGTTTACAACTATTAAGATTTATTAGATTTATGTTCCATTTTTCCTCCTGGAGCTTAAGACTATATGCATAGTTCCCACCTCCATTTCCCCCCTACCATAAAAACCCTGTTAGGTAAGCTAGACAGAGAGGAGCATACTGGCCCAAAGATACTCAATGAATTTTTGTATTTGAGTATGAAGTTGAACTTGTATCTCGCATATCCTAGTCCTGTATCCTAATGATTATAACAGAATGGCTTGCTCTTCTAGTTAGCTCTTTGTTACTCAACTAAAAATTAGAAAACTAATTTATGCAAAATGAATTAACAACTCTCTTGAACAATACTGGAGAAAATTAGTTCTCTAGTACAGGAGACGGAGAATCCACCAATGGGTTTTCTCTGTCTGCCTGCTCTTGAGACCAAGTAGCCAAACTTGACATGCCCCCTCTTGCTAGGAGATCCAGTCTTAACTTGGTCTCAGCTCTTGAAGACATGTCAGGTTTGGCTCTCAGCAGATAGCAGGTTAGAAAACTCCATTGGTGAATTCTCCTTCCTTTAGTTCTTCCAAGTATTGCTAAAACAACAATTTGGTATTCCCTTTAACAAAGGTTCCCCACAAGCACTGGGCTAAATCAATCGTGATTGAGGTGTGTGTCGGGGGGGGGGGGGTCCTTGCAGCTTCCTTACCTTCTTTTCCCCAGGGCTTTGGGGGAAAGCTTCCAAGCAGGGGCTGCTTGGAACTTTTCCCAGGTTCTTCTTTCCCCCCTTTTTTTTCCTTTTTTCTTCCCTTTCTGGGGATTCATTTTCAGGCTGCGGGTCTGAAATTCAATTTTGAATTCAGGCCTCCGGAATCTCTCAGGCAGCCGAGGACAGTCGCGGGCGCCATTTTGGTTGTCGTTAAAGGCAACGAAGTCAATTTAAGCTTCATTCTTGCTTGCTGCTCGGAGGCAGCCTTACGGAGCAAAAGTCAGCCTCTTTTTTTTTTTTTTGCCAGCTGCTTGGAGGCAGACTTACGAAACATATTTTCGGCGCAACGGTTAACACTACCACCACGAGTGTCCCAGTAACAAGACCTTGCTTCTAAGGCCACGAAGACCGTTCTCAGTGCAGAACGAGTAGCGGCCGCCATCTTGGGGCCGCCAACAGGGACGAAGAGCTGCGAACGGCCTTTTTTCGGCATTTCAAGCGCTCTGTCTCATCGGTGGCTCAGTTTACACAGCCCTTTTTAGGGCTTTAATTCCTAATTTTGCTGCTTGTCCCTGGGGCGTAAATTGCGAGATCACCTTCTGACAGCCGCCATCGTAAACGCCATGTGGGGGCCTCTTTAGGCCCAACGGGGCCTATTCACAGCAATGGGAACACCATCTTGAAAACCACGTGGGGGTTTCTTTAGGCCCAACGAGGTCCACTCATAGTAGTTGGCCTGACTTAGGCCGCATCTGGGGGGGGGGTTGTCTCCCTTTACTTACCTTTTACAATACAATACAATTTGTGTAGCTGCCAATTGAGCCTGATTCTTCCTGTTCAGGACACCTTTTTCCTTCAGGCCCTCTGCGTCCTCATTGGGACATATTTTTTTGCTGGTGCACATTAACTGGCCACCTAAGGCCTCTGAGTGGAGCCCGGAGAGTGGCCCCAAACGTGCCTTTGGCATCTGACTCAATTGCCGTGACCAAAGCCCAGAGAGAAATTTTTTCTGGTCAGGGGAGCAGTCTTGTTACTTGTTCCAATTTCGCTTCCGCCAACTGTTTGCCTGCCAGAGATTTGTCTCAGTTTCCCTAGGCTGCTCATCCAGGATGGAGGGCTCCACGATGCCTCAGCCCATGAGCACTGCCCATCCTCCAGTTACGGCTGCCACAAATCCTCTGAACAGGAGGTGGCAGGCAAGCTCAAATCTAAGGCTAAGACCACGCTCAAGAAGTCTTCCAAGTTGGCGGAAAAGCAAGCTAGCTGTAGGCACCAGGCTCTGGAGAAGGAGTTCTCCAGAGCGCAGAGGCAGGCCGGATTAGAGGCGGATCAATTGGCGGCTCATGAATTTGACCTTCCCTTAGGTCCTTCAATTTCGGCTCAAGGCGTGTGGTCCCCCACAGGGACCCCTGTCACACTCAGCTCTCCTGCATTGATTCATCACACAACAACAGCTCCAGGTTCAGTCTCAGAGGCCACCTTCACTCCTACGGCTGCAGGGCTCAGGGGACCAGACATCGGAGACATTTTCTCCAATGGCCGCCTTGAGGCCTTGCTATCTAAGGTTGTGGACCAAGCTCTAGCAGAACGGTCCTTCCATCCACCTAGTCAGGTGGTTTCCACATCAGCTATGCCACCTTATGTTCCTCTTACGGGGCTCCCTATATCTCATGAGCCCATGTCTCCCGCACACTCCTCCATGAGCGGCTACTCGTCCCCACAAGGTGAGGAACAGCCAGACTTTAATCTGTCAGAGGAGGAGGAACTTCCCCCTGAGCCCTCCCCTTCAGGAGGCCTATTCAATCCAGCCCTGTTTCTTACAGTGCTGCGCAAGGCCACATCAACAGCAAACATAGGATCAGTTCCCTCAGCCACAGGCAACATCGGATTCCAGCCCAAATCCGATATTTTTTGAAACGGTGGCAACCCAACATCATGTTCCGTGCCCCTCTATTTTTCTTAAAGGGATCAAGAAACAATGGGCCTCCCCTTCCTCCTTCCCTTCCATAAGCGGGACTGACAAAAAGATATTTAGCACCTCCACAGACCTCACTGATGCACTGGAGGTCCCCAAGGTAGACGAAGCCGGGACCCCTTTGGTATCCCAGACTGTGGTCGCTGGAGACTTGTCGGAGACGCTTAAAGCGGACGACAAAAAATGGGAACAGACCTTCTGGAAGACCCATCAATCAGCAGCATGGGCAATTAAAACGGCCACTTGTGCGAACTTTTTTGTCCGGAGTACCCTTTTATGGCTACGTCAACTTCAGGCCAGAGTCCCTACTGAGGACATTCGGACCCACCAGGATCTAACCAAATGCTGGCAGCCACTGAGTACGCTGCAGATGCAACGCTTCAGTCGGCCAACTTTGCCTCTAGGTCTCTAGCATCCAACATCACAGCCAGAAGGATGCTATGGCTGAAACACTGGCAGGCTCACGCCAAGGCCAAATGGCGTCTAGCAACTGCTCCTTATCTGGGCAATAATTTATTTGGGGAGGCCCTGGCTCCGTACCTTGTAGAAAACAAGGACAAGTGGAAGGTCATGGCTCACTTGAACAAAAAGTCCGACAAGCGTCCCGCTCCATATTTTTGTAGGCAGTCCTTTCGGCCGGCAGCAGGTCCAACGGTCACTCAGCCCTCCTGCTCATACACTCCCAGACAGGAGAGACCACATGACCATCCTTATGACACACCAGGCTTTCGGCCCAGACAGCAGAGCCAGTCTAAGCAGCCATTTTGAGGGGCAGGATGCCCCTACAGGAAGTCCAAGTGACTCCTACACTGTTCTTCCCATCGGGGAAAGGCTGGCCCACTTCTTCCACCAGTGGGAACTCACTTCCACGGACAACTGGGTCTTACAAACCATCCAGTTTGGTCTGTCCCTGGAGTTTCTAGCCAAGCCCCTGGACCGATTCATCACCTGTTCCGTTTCCAGGGATCCACTCAAACAGGGACTCATGCAGGAGGCCATTCAACATCTTCTAGAGATTCAGGCCATAGAACCGATACCACCGGACCACAGGGGAGGGGGGTTCTATTCCATCCTCTTTGTGGTTCCCAAGGCCTCAGGGGGGTGGAGAGTGATTCTGGACCTCAAAGATCACTTACAAAAAGTTCAAGATGCAATCACTCCAGTCCATCCTGGGGGGCATCAGACAAGGAGACTTCCTGGCGTCAATAGACCTCACAGAAGCGTACCTCCACATCCCTATCCATCCAGCTCACCAGTGGTTCCTCAGGTTCTGTTACAGGGGCAGGCATTTCCAGTACAAGGCCCTTCCTTTTGGCCTTTCTTCGGCACCCAGGGTGTTCGCCAAGATTCTGGCCATAGTAGCCGCCCAGTTGAGGAAAATACCAATACGCGTCCAGTGTTACCTGGATGACATCCTGATCCAAGCGTCATTCTTCCAGGCAGCTCAGGCGGACCTGAAATACACTATTCAGGTTCTTCAACAACATGGCTTCTCAGTCAATTTTCAAAAAAGCCAGACAGTTCCCTCATCCAGGCTTCTGCACCTGGGAGCCGTTACAGACACCACAAACTGCATGGTCTATCTCTCCCAGGAGCAATTGGTCAGCATCAGGGACCTGGCTCGCCAGGTGTACAGGGAACGTACTGTCCCATTGTTCTTACTCTCCTAACTGTTGAGAAAGATGGTCTCCTGCATAGCCATAGTTCCCTGGGCCAGACTCTATTTGCGGGACCTCCAATGGTTCCTCCTACCATTCCAGCGGGTGAATGCCAGTGCATCCAACTGTCAGGTCAGAGTCCCGGTTCACATTTGCAGGTCACTGCGCTGGTGGTTCTCACAAGTGGTGACCAAAGGATCACCCTTCAAGGAACCGGACTGCATCACCATCACGACAGACGCTAGTCTGTTCGGTTGGGAAGCTCATCTACAGTCTCAGTTTGCGCAGGGCCGTTGGTCCCACGCAGATTGAGACACAACATCAATTGGCTGGAGCTCAGGGCCATCCACCTAGCTCTTCGCCAATTCAGGGGACGTCACATTCTGATCCTTACGGACAACGTGGCGTCCAAGGCACACATCAATCGTCAGGGGGGCACCAGGTCCCTTATGTCCGAGGCACGGCTCCTGGGTTCCTGGGCAGAGTCCAACCTGGCCTTTCTCAGGGCTAAACACATCTCGGGGGTCGAGAACCAGCAGGCAGACTTTTTGAGTCGCGCTATGGTGCACCCCTCGGAGTGGGGGTTGCATCTGGATCTGTTTTCCGAGATCTCCCACAGGTTCGGCCATCCAATCCTCGACTTGTTTGCGTCATCAACCAATGCCCAACTCCCTAGGTACTACTCCGGCTATTTTCTTCCAGGGGCGGAGGGGACGGACGCCTTGCAGAACCCGTGGCTACAGGGTCTCCTCTATGTCTTCCTTCCACTCCCACTCATACCGGCAACCATCCGCAAACTACTACAGGAGCAGGCGGAAGTGATCCTCGTGGCCCCATACTGGCCACAGAGGCCATGGTTTGCTGACTTGGTGATTCTTTCCCAGTCTCCTCTGTGGAAGATTCCTCCACATTGCGTGTCCTTACACTAGGGGTCCCTCCAACACCCGGACCCTCAATGGTTGCACTTGACTGTCTGGCGCTTGAGCGCAGCATCATGACACAAGAATTGTTTCCCCCCCGCTCAATTACCATGATTCAGGCCTCTCGTCGCCCAGCAACCAATCGCATTTATGATTCTACTTGGAAAATTTTTTGCCATTGGTGTAGAAGGCGACAACTGGATATCTACAAATTGACCGTCCCTCAGATCGTAGATTATCTTCTGGACGGTCTGGACAGGGGCCTGGCCCCTGCGACTATTCGCAGACAGGTGGTGGCTCTGTCAACATTACTCACTTGTGCGGATTCAGTTCCCTTAGTTCACCATCCTAGGATTCGCACCTTTATCAAGGGTGCATGCAACACCAGGCCTCCCATGGTACATAGGTACCCATCTTGGGAATTGCCTTGCATCTTTCGCGCTCTAACAAAACCACCCTTTGAGCCCATAGCGACTATTCTGTTACGGAACCTATCTCTTAAGGTTGCGTTCTTAATCGTCATCACGTCAGCCAGACGTATCTCTGAGCTGGCTGCTCTATCGGTCAGGAATGACCTTTGTATCTTTCACAGCGATCGGGTGGTCCTTTGTCTGGACCCCGCCTTTGTGCCCAAGATAAACTTGCTCTTCCATAGAGCACAGGAAGTCATCTTACCAAATTTTTGCCCCAATTTTTCCCATTACTTGCAGCAGCAGTGGCACACACTGGATGTCCGCACTACGGCGTTACATGAAACGCACAGAACCTTTTCATAGGTCTGAGGCCCTATTTGTTTCTTTCCATCCGGCTTCTCTGGGACAGAAGGTTTCCGCTAACATTATTGGCAGGTGGATCAGGGCCTGTATCGCGGAGGCGTACCAGTCCTCTTCTCTGCCTGCTCCAAGTCATCTTACTGCCCATTCCACTTGCAGTGCTGCGGCATAGACCACTCAGGCGTCCATCGAGGAGATTTGCAGGGCTGCGACATGGTCCTCGCCCTCCCCGTTTATACGCCATTACAGGTTTGAACGTTTCGCTTCACCGGACGCCTCCTTTGGCCAGAGGGTCCTCCAGCAAGTAGTTTCCGGAGACTCTAATCCAGCCTTTTCTGTTCCCCACCCATTGGGACAGTGAGGCTTTGGTATGTCCCATTGGTGGATTCTCCATCTCTGTACTGAGAAAAAGCGTTCAGGTAAGACAATGCCCCTTCTAATGACATTTCTATAAATAGACTTATTTACAAAGAATTGAGTTTCAACTTTTAAAAATTACAAATCCAAGTGTTTTGAACTTTACTATTGCAAGAGATTTCCAACTAATGAATTAATAAGAGCGAATCATTAAAAAGTTCACAACAAAAGGTTTCCTTGAAACTCCACCCATTACCTCTGAGATAGTATTTTTAAAAAAGGCTTGAGTATCTCAAAATGAGACTTTTAATAAAAGGACAACATTTTAAAGAAGTCACTTTGTGTAGATGGTCTAAATTTCACCTATTAATTTCTACACTAGATATCTCTTTGTTTCCTCTAGGTGATGACAATCTCTGCAATGTTGCTCACTTGTTACCTTGTACCCCAACTAAGCAGAGTAAAAAAGAAAACACCTTTCCAGCAACTTCCCCCAGGGTCCAGACTTTACTCTTTAGTGAACATTCAGTCTCCAGGACTCCCACCAAGTGCAGCAGTTTGGTTCAGTCTCCAATACAAAGGAGCCAAGAAACACCTACTACTATGCAGTGTTACTCTCTTAAAAAACAGCGAGTACGAACTCAACTGTTTAAGCCAGAAGGTATGTAACAAGGATGGGCAGCTAGGACCTATTGTTTCAATTTGTCTTTTCCAGTAACTTTAGTATCAAAAAAAATTCCTTCAGCTCTATATTATTTTATTTCTTTATTTAGTAATTCCATTTATATAGCTGCCTATCTCAAAAAGGGGACTTGAGGTTGCTAATAACAATTTTTAAAAAACAGCAAAAAGCAAGAATGGGCAATCACCCACTATGATAAAAGCAAAAGACAACAAGCATCAATACAAATTCAGTGCAAATGTTTTACATAAAATAAATAAAATACTAATATTAGCATATAATTTCTGTTATTGTATAGAATGGGAAGGCTAAGCATGATTCTATCACAAAATAAATGAAATTTTAAGGTGATTTTATGTAGGAGCTAATATAATACTATGAAAAAGATTTTAACTATAGTTAAAAACTAGCTGAATGAATTTATTTGAATCTTCTGATTTGTATTCAGATGTGATTGCTAGAAGACTTGAAATTAAGTCTGCTACCCTTAGTCACCAATAATGTGTTTCTAAGGGACATTCCATTAACATCTGCCAAAGCACTGGATGCTTCCAAAGTGATGTTTCTAAATTTTGTTTGAATTGTTAAGTATTTTTTTCCTTGGCTGGCTGAAAAATGATTTCTTTTTGACCTATAGCCAATCCATCATCTTGCTTTTCCTTTGCCAATATTTTTCCGACTCCTGTGTGGACCTGAGCATTCTCAGAAAAAGAAAAAAGGGGGGATGAAAATCCTGCTTTCCGGCTATCTCACCAAAAATAAAAGAAAATAAAGGAACTACTGTGAAAATAGTAACAAAAAGAACACTTTTCCAAGCTGAAATAGGTAGACTACTTTGAAAGATTGAAAACAACAGGAGAATAAAGTATAAAAGGAAGATTTTTTTAATGGGTGGCTTGAAGGGAACTGAGAAGCCAGCAAATTAAAACTAGGAAAAAAGGATATGCATATGGTGGACGAATTAGAAATGGTTATACGTGTGCATGGATTGGTGAGTGTGAAACAGAAGAAATGGGTTATTAGAATGGGAGAAGTTGTTTTGAGGGGATTGAATTTTAGAGCTTTATATTAGTATTGATATTGGTATTACATATGGAAGAAATATTAATCTTCCTATTTATTGAAAAGTATCCCTAGAAAAAAATGGAAAATTCTATTTGGAAAAGGACATTTTGATAAGGTAAAGAATATTTAATATATAAACATATTTTCTTGGTTATTTTCTAACACATTTTTCAAAAAAATACATTACGATGTTGTAATAATAACTTGTGTGATTTTTTTTCCCCAGGTCATTATGGTAGCCATTTTATTTTGGTGTTTATCAAGAGTTCCCCAAAATCATAATGTATCCACAAGGCCTAAATTCCCTTCACCAAAAGTTAGAATGAACTTGCTGGGCACGCAACCAATTTCTCTTCTTCATTGATCATATTTATAGAATCATATGTTACCGATTTTACAGCTGCAGACAGTGTTAGAAAGTCAAGATAATATATTAATAATATGAAACAGATAAAATGCAATATTTATTTTGCTTAATCTGATAAGGATGTGTAATTGAACAATCTATTTCATCATTAACAAGAACTCAGTTAAAAGTATATACAACTAATTTAGTAGCAAAATTTTACCCATTATAATTTCTTTTTCTAGAAATCAGAATGCTGTCATCTATTGTGTCAAGACATGTTTTTGTTTTATGGTAGCTGTTTATTTTAATGCAGGCACCTGTTATCAACAGGCAAAGAGCCTCCTTCATACAGCTGTTCCAGACCAATTGCTTACAAGGGAAAAAGAAACAGGTGTCCTGCAACGATTCCTCCTGGAACATGTCTGCAGGAAGAAGCCTGGAAGCCTTTATATATCTGGAGCCCCTGGCACTGGGAAAACTGCTTGCCTCAACAGAGCCTTGCTGGATTTGAAGGTAACTGCTGGATTTGACCATGGGTATTAAATGTTCTTGAGATCTTTCTTTGAAACAGAGTGCTTGAACAATTATTGCCTGCTCTGTTGCTGGTAATGTTATTGTGATAGTCATTTGAGGCCTGGGGAAACTTGATGGGAGGGGTGGCAGAGATGGGGGAGGTGCTGCAACATTCCTACAGTTGGTTGTAACTACCTTTTGTGGGGATTTTTTATAATTTTGAATGGTCGCTAAGTCAAAGTTTACTTGTATGCTGTCAATTCTGAGTCCTAATCGACACAAAACATGATTGAATGCAATGTTTGTATTTGTGTAAATAAAAAATAGCAATTTACACTTATTTATCCCAAAGGTAAGACCGGCCTCTACTTTTCTGGCCTTTCAATATAGTGTTAAGACCTGGCTTTGCCAATTGACATGGAGATTGAAGAATGATATGAGACCCTGGGATGGCTGGTAATGTGAGGATGTGCTGCCTGTCTTTTTTAACTTGTAATATCTTATTTTAACTTTGTTCTTAACTGAGTTTTAACTCTGCTGTATTTGTGTTTTTATACCTCTTTTTATGTTTTATTCTAAACTACCTAGTCACTTAGGTGTGATATTCGATGGATGTGATAGATAGATGTGAGAGAGAGAGAGAGAGAGAGAGAGAGAGAGAGAGAGAGAGAGAGAGAGAGAGAGAGAGAGAGATTGGTCCTTGCTCAACAGTTCAGATTAATAGTAGTGTGATCACAAGAAGTCCTTGACTTATAACCACTCTTGTAACAGTTTGAAATTACAACGGCACTGAAAAAAGTAACTTATGACTATTTTTCATGACCATTGCAGCATCCTCAAGGTCACATGATCAAAATTCAGACATTTGGCAATTGGCATGACAGTTGCAGTGTCCTGGGGTCATGTGATCACCTTTTGTGCCCTTCTGACAAGCAAAGTCAATGAGAAAGCTAGATTCACATAACAATCATGTTAGTAACTTAACTTGTGATTCATTTAACTATGGCAAGAAAAGTCATAAAATAGGGCAAAACTCATTTAAAAAGATTTGCTTAGCATCGGAAATTTTCGGCTCAATTGTGTTCATAAAGACTAACTGTATGGAACTGCAACATGCATTCCATTCAAACTGGAGGATTGATGGCGAAGGTTAATACCCCTACATGAATATAATCTTCGAATGAACGTCTTGTTCTTTGCTGTTATAACAATAAGGAAAATTATTTCAACATCAATTTATACTTGCCTTGAATGTGTTTTACTGTTAATAGGGAAACAATTATTTGTTCTTTGCCTCCCCATCTAATGTCTAGGAGCTGAAAAAAGACTTCCTGGACTTTGTCAGCCATGCAAAGAGCAAAAATCATGTGTAACTTGTTAGTCTTGGTAGTGTAGTTGTATAGAAGCATAGGGCTGGAAGGCATCTTGAAGATCTTCCAATCCAATCGCTTCCCAAGAAAGGAGTCCTTGTACCATCCTGAACAAATGGTTGTCCAGTCTTTTCTTGAAAACTTCCAGCAATGGAGCACCCACAACTCTAGGAGGGAAGCTGTTCCATTGATTAATATTCTAATTATATTCTAGAATAAACTGTATTCTAAATTCATTTTCTATTATATTTAATTATATATAGAATGTTATATAATTGAATATATATAAATTATATAAATATAATTAAAATTAAATATTGTTATATTTAATTATATTACATAGAATATCTTAATATTTTAAATTCATTTTTAAGCCTCAGATAAATTTTATTGATTTGATCATGAGCAGTAGGAATAAAATATACGTATTGCCTATTTAATGTAATTGAGTATTTTTATGGCTTGTCACATCTTCCTTTCTCAAAGGAAGGCTTTGTGAACAGGAGGGTTTTCCTAAAATATTTAGGATGTTGCAGTTTAAATAAAGAGAACAGTTGTGTGTTCTCTTTATTTCTCAGCTTAGTAAAATGAAAGTTCATATACAAGAATATTTGTCTATCCTGCACATTGGGTTGTTGCCCCCACTAGTAAGGGAGGTGTTGCTTTTGTTTTATGGCAGCTTATCTTCATGATTCTTCTTGGAGCTCCTAGTGTTCAGAATGCCTTGCAGGTTGCTTTTGGACTCTCTTATAGAATCTAGGTCCATGGTGGTGAACATATGGCACGTGTGCCACAGGTGGCACGCAGAGCCCTCTCTGTGGGCACACATGCTGTCGCCCCACTCCTAGGCCTTTAGCTGTGTTTTATAAAACCTTTTCGCTTTAGGTCTCTGCCGCCAAAAAAAAAAAGGTTCAATCAATCAATTTCAACTTCTTGCAGGGGAAAAAAAGATCTCACAAAGTTGGAATTGATTGATTGAAATTTTTAGTCCCACCCAGTCTGCCGTTACCACCGCAGCTACACCCACCCAATGGGCCACACCCACCCGGCATCCAATGGGTTTCAGTCTCTAAAAGGTTCGCCATCACTGGTCTAGGTAGTGATCAAACTTTCCCACCTTCCTTACAGACAGAACTCATTGGGATTCAGATCACAGTCTTAAATTGCATGGCCTTAAGGAGCTCCCAAGCTGTCTTCCCAGCAATTGCTGAACAGTTGGGCCTGGCTGGAGCTGCCAAAGCAGCCAAAGGTGATGTCATCAGAAAGCTGGAGAAACGGTTGACATCAGAAAGTGCATCGATGGCGTGAGTAGAAGATTTTTTATGGGAGAAGTTTTTTTTTTTTTTTAATTTAGTTATCCATTGGAAATAGGGATGGTATTAGTCATGAATTTATGCTGTGTATGGAAAAACAGCATATTTGGTTGTTTTGGGACTCTAATTTATATGAGAGCATCACAGAATCCCTGTTTGCTTCACAGAAAAAAGTAGCTTGCCAAACTCCAGTGAGCAAATGGCATTTTCTCACCAGAGATGGACGAGTCTGGCCAATAATAATTTGAATGAAATGTTCTGGGGTTAGAGCAATCTTTATAGGAGAATTACATACCTTTCCTATTGTCTTCTCCCTATAATTCCTCCCTGTAAATATATTTAGGTATTTAAGTATGTTCAAGATTTAATAAACTGAACTAATTGGTCCATGGAAATTGGATTTTTTTTTCTCAGATTAAGCCATTTGACAGGATTATTATTGTAGTAATAACAATTGTACCCAGGGAAAGCATTGTAGAAATAAATGCTGAACAGTAGGATCTCTAATAATGGATTTTTATTATTATAATTATCCTCACATAGGCTGATTGGTACTTGGGAGAGTTGTTCAACTCACAGAATCTAGGTATTTTGACCAGATGTGCTATGTATTTATTCTCAGGAGTATATCTAAGCCTCAAATCATTCAGGGCTTGCCCTTGATTAGCATTAAATGAGTAGATACAGCGCTTGATAAATTGAAACTTTTATTTTTGCCTTTGTTTTAAATATATATATTGTTGTTTTAGTTAATTTTGAAAAACATACTAACCCAGATTTTTTAGAACCAGCTTTTAAAACAGTCTTGGAGAGACTATTGGGAGAAATAATTCTTTCCTATATAATACAATCTTCAGTTTATGAGTTTGAGAGAATAACTTCTCTGGAAATGAATTTATTAAAATGCTGGAGATGGCATAAAATAAAGAGATCAATTAAAATATGCTATAAGCTAAGAAATAAGCAAAAAAAATACAAAATTAAATTTAGATTAAATAGCTAGGATTCTATAGCATTGAAAATCTAAAAAGTGCCTTTATCATAATTCTGAAAGAGGTAACAGAAAATAAAATACTACATTTTTTAGGAGAGACTTCCACAATATGGGTCATATTGCTGAAGAGGTCTTTTTTCACATAACCTATAACCATACATTTTTAGATATGGGAAAGAAATAAGATGCCTTTTTTAACCAGATTGTTGGTTTGTCTAGCACATGACAGAGATTTCTGCCCTGCCTTTTAAAAAATGTGATGAACCTGAATGTTTTTAAATGCAGTCACTATTCTTTAAACCAATTTTTTCTTCTACTTTACCCAGAGATGTCAAGGAGTAATATTGTTGTTGCACCTTTCTCTTCCCCCCCCTCCCCCAATGAATAATGAAAACAACAAGCAGGTATATATGGAAGGAGGCAGTCCTTCAAGTATCTTGTCCTTTCATAGGACAAAACTTGCATCTTGCATTTTACTCATAAAAACTTGAAGTCAGTGAATTTGCTCCAGTAGTAGGTTGTTCGAGCTGTTAGAGCAAATTCATTGCTCCACTGTTTATACTATAAAAAACACACTCCCAAAAGCAATCTAACTGCAATATTATATGTCAGTTACAGTTTTGAATACTTATGAAGGTCACAGTGTTAAGTGATATAAATAAGAGATAATTAAAACACAAATCACAGTTGAAAGCACAGATGGTGCAACAATTGAAAATTGGGCTGGGCAGAGGCATTCCTGACCATTGCTAACAGTCTGACCTTTCAGGATCAGTGCCAATTGCAAGAACACCACTACATAATTATTTTCCTAGTACTTCAAGCTTATTGGAAAATCAAAGAGTGGAGTTCTATTCCCAGAGGAGGATATTTGGGATTAGCCATGGCAGCCAAGCCAGCTCCACACCCACATATCAGTCAGGAGAACTGCCAGCACCAATAGCTAGAAAATTCTCCAGAGCATTCACAAATTCTTCCAAAGCCATTGATCTCCAAAGACAGACTAAATTAATGGTTCACCAGACCAGTGCAGAGGTTTTATGTTTCAATAAATGTAAGCACTATTAATAATGTTCATGTAAAATCGTTTTCACCACAGACTGTTAAGCAGGCTGAAACTAAACACTGAATCAGGTCTTGACTCTGGAAACACACTGTGTTGTATATGAATTAATTCAGACAAATTTTTGCTTGAAAACAATGAACTCTTGAATTATTTCAGATGGTATTACCTTGGTTTGAATTTTCCCAAAGCAAGGAAACTGGAGTGATGACTTTTGAAGCAGCCTGTAACAATTAAGGCAAGAAGCTAGTGGATCAGAGGGTTCCCAATATTTAACCTGTTGGCCAGACAGCATTCAATAAAAGAATGGATTTATGATAATCCACTGCAATTCCATCTTTCTTTCCACTGAATCTTGTATTTTGTTATCCTCAAAAGCCTAGTGAATATAATTAGTCAAGCCAATTCCTTTGCCCTTATATAACCATATTTTATTCAAATGACAGTTCAGTTTCTTTATCCAGAATAAAATCTCAGAGTATATTAAGCAGCAACATTTTATGATCTAGTGCAGGAGTGTCAAACTGCCGGCCTGTGGGCTGGACGCATCACAAGGAAACCGCGCCCACCCCGTTGCTGGCAATGGGGAAAAAGTTTCAATACGTTGCGTGACATCACATGACGTCGTGAGTTTGACATGTCTGATCTAGTGGATTTTCCTAGGATATTTATGAATTCATGGGCTTATATATTAAACTATGTGCTTTTTAAAACAAAAAAACATTTTATTCAATTTTCTGGAAGTTGGGAACCTTGCAAGTACCTCAGTCCACTCATTATTTAAAAGTACTACCTGCAGCTAAAGGATATTTTGTTAAAAATTTTTGAATATTTTATTCTTTGTTTATTGTTACATTTGCATATTTTTTTCTCTGGGAAGGTAGTATTCAGTCTTGATGTTTTTCATCCTTGCAGTTTGGTTGTATTAGATGAGATGGATCAGTTGGATAGCAAGGGACAAGATGTTCTCTATACAATATTTGAGTGGCCTTCCCTTCCCAACTCTCGGCTCATTCTCATTGGTGAGTATTAGAGATGTTAAAGCTTTAGCTTGATAGTTTAAGAAGAAGAGTGTTACTATACTTTTTTTGGGGGGGGGGATGCCTAGCCGAGTGCTGGGTATTTTCCAAAGTCTAATTTTGCCCACTATTGATTTCAGTGCCTTTCTTCTGCTACTTGTCCATGTTGACTCTTGCTTAACTGTGCTATTATAGTTCATGCCACCTTCCTTCTCAACTACTGGAAAGGAAAGGAAAAGATATACTTAAGTTAGAAGCAGAAAAAATAGAAGATTTTCAGAGAATGTGGATCTGTGATTATATTCTGTCTCTCCCTCTGTTAGAATTGTGCATTCCCACTGATCTGCTAAGTAGAAGAATCTTTAATTAATTGCTTATCTGAAAGATATATAGCATTCTAAGGGAAATAGGAACTAACTAGGCCAGTCCTCTATGCAGCATGTAGGACCATCTATCCAAGCCTAAATTTAACAAACTTTTCATTGTGCAAAATAAAAAGCACAAAGTAGGGTGTTGAGAAAATAGGAAATACTTTCCTTCTAAATTTACTTGTGCATTTACTTAGAACCAATAAAGATGGCATTAGAAGTGAGTTGTACATAGCTCACAATAGTAGGTACCAGATAAGTACTGTAAAAGTATGGTTGCTCCAATGTTTTAAAAGAAAGATTCTTTCAATTCTTAAAGAAGCTATGGGTAGGATGGAATGTTTGTTTGTTGGATATAAACGAGATTTGTTTGTTTGGTAGGAATAGCTAATGCTTTGGATCTCACTGATCGCATCCTACCTCGCCTGCAGACCCGACCTATGTGCAGGCCACAGCTGCTAAACTTTCCCCCATACAGCAAAGATCAGCTGGCTTCTATTCTCCAGGAACGCTTGAAGAAGGTAATATCTCAGCGGCCTAATTCAAAAATTACTGTCTTGCCCCTAAACAACTTATAGAAGGAATAAGCTGCATTTATCTTTGATGCCACTTGGCGAACTGTAATTTGAATTTCTCAGCATCCTTTGCGTTGCATTAGGACAGGGGTGTCAAACTGCTGACCCCTAGACCAGACACCTCACACGGAAGCTGCGCCCACCCCATTGCCAGCAATGGCAAAACAGTCACAAACGTCACACAACGTCATGTGACATCACAGGTTTGACATGTCTGCATTAGGAGCTCCTTCAGTTTCTTTTAAGCAGAGAACAAATTAGTTAATTTGTTGGGCTAATCCCTAATGGCAAAAAGTAAGGTAGGAAGTTAAATGATTAAGGATATTAATTTGAGCAGAATGAGAGGTTCTGAACTAAATATAAGGATTGCTTTCTATACATGCCCAGATCATGTCTTTTTTCTCTCCAAAAATGTAGGACACTTACTTTTGTTAACTACCATGTTTTCTCTTCTTTATTCCTTTAGGTGTCAGGGGAGGAGGTGTTGGACAACGCTGCTATCCAGTTCTGTGCTAGAAAAGTCTCTGCCTTCTCTGGGGATGCTCGCAAAGCACTGGACATCTGCAGGTGACAAATATATAGTGAACTAAATTCCAAGCTAATTACTGGATGTGGGACGTGATTTAAAGCTTTATTGTGGTGTTTGGTCCCCCTGCCTGAGGGGGGAGAGTCAGAACCCTCCTGTCCTTGTGCATAGGGGAGGGTGGTGCCTCCTGGCTGTGCTAATGTCTGGAAATGTTTACAGCCCATTACCTATGAAGGGTGAGAGGAATTGGTCCTCCTGCAGCGATTATAGATTGGTTAATTACATTTAGATTGCAAAAGGCTCTCATTAACAGCTCTCAAGCAGACATCTTTATGGTGCTTGGAAATATTATCTTTTCCCTCACAAGAGAGTTTATCAGTTGTCTTCCATCTTCCTTGATTTCAGTTAGACATTTGTTGGATGTCCCCTTTTATGTTTGCAGAGCAAATACACCTACTTTAATATGTATGCATTTACTTATTTATTTATGTCAGTCAGTTTAGAAGTTGGTCCTAATGATTCTGGGTGGCTTAGAGTTAAAAAAAGTAAGAACTTTACAATTTTAAAAAACATAGGTGTCCTGAAGACAGGGGCTCAACCATCAACTTATCTCAAGGTCTAGGAGAAAAGCCAGGTCTTCAATAACTTTGATAATTAAATGTCGTTAGGAATTTTACAGTATAGAAACTCAGTGGAGTTTTCACATAGGCAAAGAAAAGAAGGTAGCTGCCACTTTGGGAGAATTCTAATCTAGATCTTTGCATTAGGGTTTAGATATTTACAGCATTTGAAAAGCACAGAAAGCATATTACAGTATATGTTAACCCAATAACCGAAAGCAAAAGTCACATGCAGCTTAATCCAGACTGAGAAAAGTACAGAAGCAAAGCATGTGTGCTATGATGCCATTCGAAGAGGGCCAGGAGAACAGGCTGCAGATGACTGTCTTGAGTAAGCCAAGCTGCTGGAATGTTCTGCTGTTGTTCCCTTATCTTTATAGGGAAAATGGCCTCTTGAGACCTCTAAGAGTAAGAGTCAAAATGTTAAGCCACATGATCCATATAATATATTTTGATTTCATTTCATTTAAGGAGCTCACAGAGACCTTGCTGAATTGTACAGCTTGTGTCTTGATCCTGAAAAAAATTATTCAGATATGCTAATAAATATTATATGCAAATAAATATTACTGTATGTTTCTGTTTCATATAGTTCACTATTGAGCCTGCCCCCTTTTCTTTTGCTAGCCCCTGAGCTATGCAAATCCTTTCAAACTCCATTAGATATCTACCTTTATCATCTTTGAGGGGGTTCATTAAAAGTGATTTTAATATACAAGACCTTTATAATTTAGTTTCCTGATACATCGTTTTCATGCAGAAGATTCTTGTAGGAGTTTGTATTTAACTGGATTATATTTTATTTCTCTTAGTTAAAAACTACAGCAATAAACATAAAATAATTTACACTTAGGATCTAGAGGAGGTAATGATAACTTTAATACTAACGCAAAATCAGCATTAAAAGTTAATTGGTCCTAAAGCAGTCTTTAGAAGAAGCAGAAATACAATTAAAGTTTATGTTAAACCAATACAGTGAAAGACAGTTGATGCTCATCTAGCTGACATTATGCATTTGAGTTAAGCAAATGCTTTCAGACCAATCTTGGTACCTTAAAGAATGCCATTCTAAAGCTTTACTTGTTCATTCTAGTTGAAGGAAAGATAGGCTGTTTGCTTAATTTGCTTTTTTGGAGGTTATGTTTTGTTTTGGGGTTTTGTTCTGTTATCTGCATTTTATTTGCTTTATTTAGCTGTATGACTGTGCATTGTCAGAAAAAAAATACTTAATTTTATTAAACAAATTCACCAATGAAAATTTAAACATACCTGGTTCCATTTCAAAATAGTTCTTTGTTCCAGAATTATCAACAAATGTTTGGATCTGAAACTTAAGCTTTGGTTTAGCTATGAGTAAATGTCAGCTTATACACAGAATTAATCCTGATTCCTTCTACCCATGTGGTGCCCAAATTAGACATAGGTTAGCACAGAGGGTCAAAATCTGCCTCTGGCACTGCTTCCAATATAACAAATAGAGCGTTAATCTCATTAACATGCAAGATAGTAATGAATTCCCATTAATGGGCCATGCATGTTATACTAGATCTTCTTTCATTATAGCATACTTGCACAGTTTCTCCCTTGTGACTTGAGAGCTACTTTAGAGAACTGAGGTGAAAAGGCAAGATCAAGAACTGGTATAAGTAAGAGTAACATTCACTATGAGAAGGCTAGGCTGGTACAGGTTTCTTGTACCAATAATAAATACCATAGCATTTTATTAGACTTTCAGCTGGTTGGTCAAGCCCAAAATCAATTCATGAATTAGCTAAAGTGGGTTGTGTCATGGCAATAATGGTTAAATTTCTTCTGTTGCTTTTAATTTTGTTATTATTCTTTTTAAGTGGGAACTGTAATAGGAAAGAAGAGAGGAATTATGTAGAAATACATAGATACAGAAAGGGAGTAGGTGAGAAGAAATTCTTTAAAAAGGAAGAATTGAATAGTTTGCTGTTAAGCAGCCTCTTAATGGTTGAAGATTTTCTTCAAATCACAGGATTTTAGGCAGCCCAATCAACCATTCTTGTTTAACTCACCTGCTCTTGAAGGAGGATCTCAATGTATATTACACGTCAAATGTTTGCCTAGCTTTTCACAACAAATCTAATTGGAAGCAGATTTTTATGTTTGTTTGTTTGTTTTTTTAAAGAATTCTGAATGTTAAGGACTTGGTAAGCTTCTAGAAGGTTCCTTTTAAAATCTTTACTTGGATCCCTTTGAGAGTCTATCTATGATTGCCTTATTCTGTTCTCTTCCTTTAATCTACTATTGGTGCAACTTTATTAAAAGCGGTGCACCAAAAAAAGGCACTTTGAAGAAGATATAACCATTTGAGAAAGCAATCAAGATTTATAAAGAAAGGAAAAAAAATCCCTAACATTTATAGACACTTCATAGGCATCACAATACAATGACTTGGTGTATGAAATGTCATCAGCAGGAAGCTTTCCTGTTGTGAGCTTAGTTAATTCTGCTTTTGGATCTCCGTGACTCCCTTTTTGTATTGCATTTGATAAGCTATTTGCCCATTTGTATAAAATCCCCGTTTTTAGATAATAGGAATTGAGTTTACACTTTCTCACTAAAATAAATAAATACTCCAGATAAGGGGAGATAACTTCTTGTGCTAATTGGCTTTGGAGTTGGAGTTTGTTCTTCTGAGGTTGTTTAAATCCCAGTTAAGGCTGGAGGGGTGTTAAAGTGATGGTAATGGATGCTATGATCTGATAGCAAGAACAAACAGCAGATATTTTCTCTCTGTGCCCTACACTAAGTGGGCAGCTAAAGGAATGTAAGTAATACAATTGATTGTAACTTGTCTGTTTTGCACTTAAGCTGAAACAGCTGGAAGTGATTTCTGAATCTTGGCAGAATGCTTTCATATGTGCTAGAATGGTGGTTTGGTCAACACATCAATTATGTGAGACAATCTGGAGTGGCCCATTGCTGTATTGGGGATAAAGTTTTAATACCATGATCTAAAATACTATCTTCATCTTTAGGAGGGCCGTTGAAATTGTGGAGTCAGATGTGAAGACCCAAGCTATACTTAAACAAACGCCTGCCTGTAAGTAGATTTTTCTCATTCTTTACTTTATGCAGATCATGTACTTCTATGCAATAGTACTAGGTTTCCTTAAGTGTTTTCCTGATCTAGTTTGGCACCATTTCTTCGAGAAAGAAAGTTTAAACCATGCTGGGGGAATGGAAATGTTTGTAAAGTTGGCTGACACAAATGTATTTTCTCTTCCCCCACTACAAAAACGGTCCTGTTGAAGAAACTGAACTTGTTCCCTCTCTTCTATATCTGATCCTAAATGTAAGGAACATTAGAAAAGCACGTATGAAGTAGTACTACATACATGCTTCTTCCAAACAGCTACATGCAGTCTAAAAATTTGTATCTTAAGGTTTATGAACAGTGATGGTGGTGTATAGAGGTTTGTATTGACCCGTCTTGAACTTTAGACCAATACTTTTAAAGTTTAGCAATGTTACAATATATGGATTTTAATTACCAGAATTTCCTAGCCAGCATGCAAAATCCACACATCTTAGTGTTGCTGAGGAATCCTGCCAAAACATTTGCTGTAACCATTTGGATATACAACTTGATTGAGCAGGAAAAGGATCTTGCAATTAGTGCAAATGACAGTTTGATATATAGCTACCGTTGAAAAAGGCAAGTTCCATGTTAGGATTCATTAAGAAGATAGTTGAAAGTAAAGTTGGTAATGCTTTAATATAGAACTCTACTGAGACTACTTGGAATAATGTGGTACCAGTTATCTCACTAAACCTCAAAAAAGACAACTAGAAAAGGGGACAGTTGGAAATGTTTACCTGCTAGAGCTGCTCTCAAATGAAGAAAAACAGCATCATATGCTGTTTAGCTTAGAATGAAAGAGAATAAGGGGAGATCTGCTAGAGATATATAAAATCATTCATCACGACTGGCAATTGGCTTCCTTCCTCAAGCACAGCATTGGTATTTGGGGCTTTTTCATGGATAACAAAAAGTGGAGACATTCAGGACCAATGATAATGCAGCCCTGAGTTAAACCATAGAAATCTCTGCCATTAGATCTGACATCTCTTTAGATATTTTAAAAAGGTCAAATAGATTCAAGGATAATTGGATCCTTAATATTTTCCATTGATGCATGTTTATTTACTGACTCTTGAATTAAGATACCATATCATCAATATTAACAGCTGGGAGTAATTGTGAACGTCTTGATTCCACCTGATTTAAGCAGAGTATGGCATAGACTACTGGATGAAGTATGTTTAACATGGTTCTTCATGGTTGATCAAAATCAAACACTGCATGTTTGACTAATGCATGATCTGAAACCACACGATGCAACAATGCTGGTAAAATTAAGCAGGTCTAGATCTTTAGTGAGACAGCGTCTGGGAATCCCAAATATGTCTTGCTGAATTTTTTCAAATGAGATAGAAACTAATCAAAATGCATATATGTGTCATTTGTACATGGGTTAAGTTGCAGTTTTTACGTATGAATAATGGATTTTCCATCTTGTACTTTCTGACCAGCTGATTCCAGTCCTGTGTCCTCAATCAAATCTCATTCCAAACCAGCTGCAGACTCTGCAGTGCCCAAACAAGTGGGCCTGCGTCATGTCTCCCAAGTGATCTCTGATGTATATGGTGATCGGATGGCAACTGGTAACAGTTACGGTGATGCTTCTTCCTTCCCACTACAACAAAAGATTTTAGTCTGTTCTCTGTTGCTCTTAGCCAAGCAACAGAATATCAAAGAAGTTAACCTAGGAAAGGTGAGTGTATTGATCCTTCATTGCTACTCTCCTATAGTACTTTTATTTAGTGCTGCTTCATTCTGCTTCACCCGGATCTCATGAGGAATGAATGTGAAAGAATCTTAATATTGGCTAATGTAATATCTTTATGCAAAATTTGCATTCTGAAAGTTCTAGAATAAAGTGATATCAAAAGATTTCTGCTCTCTGCCTCTTCGTATCCTGTACCTTTTTTTTTAAAAGATTTTGAGAATAAATAATAATTCTCTGTTTACTTAGGAAATAATGTCTCCAATCCTCCCTGGTCTGAATGAAAGATAATTGCATAAAATATAGGACTATGTGTAATACAACTAGTCCTTGACCTATGAACACAAATTAGGACTAGAATTTATGTTGCTAAGCAGGGCAGTTGTTAAATGAATCAAGCCTGATTTTACAATCTTCTTTGCCATTATTGTTAAGCAAATCACTGCAATTGTTAAGTAAATCATGCAGTCATTAAGCAAATCCATTTTGTCTCATTGACTTTGCTTGTTGGAGGCTGGCAGGGAAGGTTGCAATCACAATCATGATCTCGGGGTGCTGCAACTGTTACAAACACATGCCAGTTGCCAAGCACCTGGATTTTGGTCACATGACATTGCAAATGCTGTAATAGTTTTAAGTGTGAGGACCAATTGTAAGTCATTGGCAATGTAACTTTGAACAAATGATTGTAAGTTAAGCACTACCTCTATAGTACATGAGTTATATATAAATTACCTACTATTCCCATTCTATTACCTTCTCATGGCATTTGAAAAGTGGAGGAGGGAATAGTTTGTTCTATACAATAGTTCCTAATTTTTGTAGCAGAACAATATAGTTGCCTGTATTCCAAATTCCTCCAAAATTATAAGTGCTTTTATTCCATAGGAACAAATGCTGAAACTAATTGGGGCAATTATTTGTTCACTGTTTCTAGTAAAATTATACTTAAGTGGGATTTAGTGTAAACTGAATTTTTTGCAATATATCTTATTATGGATTTCTAAATCTCTTTCCATGGCCACTCTTTTCTTTAAAAAGTAAAATTATAGTAACTATACCAAATATAGAACTATGTTAGCAAGTGCTTTGGCTGGGCACTTTGGGTTATGATTATGAAGAACATATTTTAGTTAAAAGCTACAATAATGGAACAAAATGAAGCTAGGATGAGTGAGCCTTGTTGTATCTACTAATCTCTCTGTGTTATTGTATTCAATAATAATAACTGGAACTTATTAAACCTTCCTTATTTCTAGCTGCATGAAGCTTACAGCAGAATTTGTCAGAAACAGAAAGTAGGACCTGTTGGCCAATCGGAATGCCTCTCACTCTCAGCTCTTTTGGAATCAAGGGGCATTGTAGGACTCAAAAAGGCTAAAGAAGCACGGCTGTCTAAGGTATTTCTCCGTATTGGCTGGGAGAGTAGTTTAATCACATGCTCTTCGTTGGCTGAAAGATCTAAGATTAATGTACAAATTTTCCATTCTCTATTGCTTTTTAGAGAAAACCCTTTGAGTGGTTGGCTTTTACTCTATTATAATAATGATGATAACAGGGAGTGATAAAAATTGGCCAGTGATTCTTGTTTTGGCTTTCCTAGGAAAATGTACTATTTAGAGTTTTTTAGTGCCTGAAAGGTCTCTGCTGCACCTGGGAATTTTTTTTCTTTAGATGCAGCCATCTTAAATGTCTTTGCTATATGAACAGGTGTATCAGCCCTCCTTTCTTATGTTTCTGTGAGACTTCCTCAGGGTACAACTTTTTTTTTGTTCATATCTGTTCTTTGCAGAACTGCAGAAACAATAAACAAAGAGGAAACAGAGTTCAATTACTTTTTCACCAGAGCAGTTGGAACTGCACGTGTAACATCAATCATTCTTGCCTATATTGGAAGAGCTGCCCGAAGTTTAGACATATCACAATGTATTTGATTGGTTGTCATATTTGTGCTCTGTCCTTCTTGAAATTTGCCTATTTTTCCAAAGCTTAGTACTTTCTGGAATGTAAATTAAATACTCTATAATGAGGAAGCTAAAGTGTAACATTGTGGTGATTAATTAATTCATGCTAATGCTTGGAATTCTGCTATGAGAGATAATTCTGATTTGAAATGTTGTGGATTTTGAACAATAGAGAAGTTGCACAACTAAAAAAACTGGTTAATAATCCATCTTCCTCCACTTCTTGTTTCTGCTTGTACTCATCTAAATTTTTGCAATTAGAGAAAAGGGGAATGCAGATATTTGAGGCATTTGGGTAGAATCTTTTCATTCTATCCGTCTTTTTTCAGTGTTAACTCTATGGGAACTGGCAGTGGAAATTATATGGCAGATTGTTGATTCTTGTAACAATTATAATATTTCTGTTCTTGAAAAGTGGTTGGAAATCAGCATATGCTGGAAGTTGGATGCTTCAGTGACAACTTGATAGCAGAACTTTTTCTTCTATGTAGATTAAAGGGAAAGTTAGAAATTGCCAATGCCTAAAGTTTAATCTTGATATTGTACACATGGGCAATCATGGATACTCAGCTATGTCCAAGTAACAGATTCATGTTTGTTTTTCTTCCACCAGGTCTTTCTGAAAATAGAAGAGAAGGATGTGGAACATGCTCTCAAAGATGGAATCTTGGTTGGAAGCATTTTGGCTGGGGGACTTTAAAACTGTTGCTTTGCTCACTTGTACAACCCTTTGCCTCATACATCTTTTAGCTTTAGGAACAGACTTCATCGAGACATACAGAGAGGTGCAATCTTCGGAATATTTGGACCATTGGCTTTATTATTTTTAAACAATGTCAGTGTTAAAAAAAATTGCCCTATTTTCAAGGATTTTAAAACTTTTTACCCTTTGATAATGCATCACTCTTTCTTCCCATTTGGAGATTTATTCTTGAATACCAGAAATATTTTCCCCTCTTTCCCAGCCGCAGTGCAATCAACCTTTTCTCTGCTGTCCCTTCCATCTACACATATGGAACTGCCAGTGTGATATTTGCTTCCTTGATTAGCAGCAGAGATGAAAAGGAATGAAAGATGTCAGTAAGAGAGTCCATTTGCAGACACAGCCATTAATGTAGCAATAGAAAATAATGCAGTAGCTTCAGTTCTTTTGAAGTTGGGCTGTTTCAATGAAGTAAATGTCATCCATACTGAGGCTTAGCCTCTTCAGAGCTGCAAAGGGGCTTAGCTATACACACAGAAGCACACACAACCCTGAGGGCTCTTGAACATCTTAACATTTCTGAACTATGGCTACAATCTTAGCAGTAAAACTAGTTTTAGACCTGGAGCAAAGAATCAATTTTATTTCTGGGCCATTTCTTTTTGAAAAGCTGAATTAATTAAATAGCTTAATGATCGTGTATTAATCTAAATTTTTTACTAAGCACAGTGTGGATTTCTGAATTGGAATCCATTTGTTTGCATGCATATATGTGAATGACCAGGATTGGTTTGTTTTAACTGAAAAGCCATTTATTTTTACATATCAGTGCCTTTCTCCACTGATTAACTTAGAATTGTTCTGATGTATTGAAATATGTGTAACCAGATGTTTTTAACAGTTGCAATTATTTGCTATTGCTTTAATTTATAGATTAAAATAGTCAATCTTGCAATTTTGAAGTTTAGGATATATGCTTAGTTCAATCATTTACATTGTTTAGTTATTTTCATTAGAATTGGAGTTGTGTTATAGCTTTCTGGTTTGGTGGGGATGTATACATATCCCATTAATTGTGGGCTTGTCTATGCTCAGTTTTAAATATACTTGGAATTTGTATATCTAATGCATACTAGCTTGTTCCAAATTATGCATACGTTAGCATCTATCACTATTCTCTTGGACTTTGGAAGAGTACCTACTACATTGGAACATGCAATTCTGTAACTAATATGTGGTTAAATTTAAGCCAAAATTGTAGTATTATTAAAGAGCTGGGGGCTTTCAGTTTAATTTGTGTTCTCCCCTAAATTTTTATACTCCCTAATTTTCATAAAGCTGCTCAAGTGGCCACAGCAAGAGATATATTACATGCATTTTTTGATATTTATATTTTATAGCCTCCTTGTTCAGTTATGTTAGAATGGGATGACTTGATCCATCTGCATCCCTGATGGCTGACTCCTGTAAACCACAATGGCATCACATGTTAAAAATCCATCACAGTGTTAAGAGAAACCAGCTTAGCCCCATAAAACAAAGGGAGATTTTGTGGTTGTCTCTCCTGGTCACTAACTGTGAGTGGTTAACCATTGCAATATATCCAATAGAAAAATGCTGAAGCCTAACATAAAATAAAAGGTTAACTTATAAGATTCTCAAGTTCTAATTGACAAACTATTGTCTATAGGATTTGGAGAACCAAGATTAATCTTTGGACTTCTAAGGCTATCAAAGCACACTGCGTATATAAGCCAGCTTTCAAAGAGTTAATGGCCTAGAGCAGCCACAGCTAATAGAAAGCAGACTTTAGAAAGAATTGGGAGCAGATGGGCAGCTGGATTTTAAATCATATTTTTCTTCCTGTTAGGACCTTGAAAGTGATACAGTACTCATTACAGCATATGTGCCTATTTTCTTCATTCATTGCATGCATGCACATGTTAGTCTATACCTAAAAAAAATACTTCCTACCTCCTTCCAGTAGGTGTTCCAGTCTTATACACTGGTAGCATTATTTTGTGCATTGCAAAGGTTATTTATCCATTTGTGCATTTGTTTGGAGACAGCAGTTCTTAAATCATCCTTCTCATTTGGTCTGATTTTTAATATAAGAATCAGCTCTCAAGTTGATGGGTGTTTTAATTTGAGTTGTTGGGAGCTCTGCAACATGATTGCATTTAAAAATGAAAAGCTCAAAGCGATTGGGAATTTGGTAACTGCTGAGAAAGAAAAAGACAAATGGACTTTGCTACTGAGGTGGCTGTTTCTGATGTTTTAAAACAAAAGCTTTTTTGCTGAAAGAAACACATTCTGCTAAAGCAGGGGTTCCCAGCCAGAGGTGCGAGATGATATTCCAGGAGGTGCGAAAACGTGGGTTTTCAAAATTATAGTGTATATGCATAATTTGTTGCCATTATTTCAAACTTTTGTAAGGGGTGCGAGAATATATCAGAAGTGTTCTAGGGGTGCAGGGTATAGAAAATGTTGGGAACCACTGTGCTAAAGAGTCGATCTGAACTAGTGGTTAAGGCTTTGGCAGGTTGAGAGACTTGCTCCAAAAATTAGTAGAATAGTGGTTTTGGAGAGCCTTGATATCTTGCAAGGCTTAAAAAACCATTTTTTATTAATACCCAACTCAAAAACACAGCCCTACCCTCCAAATATTGTATCCTGCATTGCATTTGCTCTGACGGTCATAAAGGGAATATGAGATCCTATGTGGTCCTGAGCTGCATATTTGCTTTCTTCGATTTGTTGTAAGCCTCTGTCTTTTAATTTGAGGTTAGCTGTCTCAAAACAGTGTACTGTAGAATACAGGCTTCTGAGTTTGCTGACATGTCATCAGCAAAGGTGGTAAATAAAGGGAAGCAAAAATGGAGCGGGGGAATCTGTTCAACTCATATCTGAGTTTAGTTTCAGTCTGCTGGAATTTGGAAGGGGCCTTCTAGGCCCTACGGGGTACAGAGGGTTATTAAGGTTACACACTGATTCCCGAACGTTACTGAAATTAAGGAATAAACAAAACAACGGATGAGTCCCCATTTCTTAAATAAGAAGTCTCACAATTATTTTTACCTTTAAGAAAAATACCCATTGGCTCTTCTTGGTTAAACTTCATTGTTCCTTAATCTGTATCGGTCTTCAAATTCACTGTGAGATCTGTACAACAGGCTAGATTTGGGTGCAAGACTTTCACATTTTCTCTTGGAAACTTTCCTGCTGTTGGATCCCTTGTGAGATGCAGAAGATTCTTTACCTATCAGAGAAACATATTTCCTGAAATACCAGTGGAAAATACTTTCTTGCCAGAGCCACTAATCTTTTCAGGAACATATGGTTCAAACATTGAGCTAAACCATTCCCATGGTGATTTGGTAAGTATGGAAGATGTTGGTAAATTATTGTAACAATAATTCTTAACACTGCTTGCATAATGAGCAGCAAAATATTGGGATGGAACAATGATGTTTTAATTACATGGTTAGCTAAACCTGCTGAAATTCTTTGACAAAATGGTATATGTTATAAAGGTATATTCCATTAATTGTATAGTATGATTTACAAATAAAATTTTATACAAGTATTTTCCAAATCTGAGTCTTATCTCCTACTTTAGAATATATGTGAGGATAAAGGGAAAAGCTTCTGGCATGAACATTGCATCCCAAAGAAAATAAAATTTTCAAAACTACTTTGCTCACAGGCAAAGGAGTTGTTGAAGGAAGTTGTACAGTACTGTAATTATGTAATGGGTAACGATTCTAGACCGTTTTTGCTTTAAATCCATCCTAAGGATCACCTTCGACATGGCTGAAATCCAAGAGGCCCTATGTTTACACTTCTATAATTTTTCTTTTCTGATGGAGGTAATATATAATACTTCAGCATGACCTATAAAGTGTGTGATTAACCTGCAGGAGCGTTTCATTGATGGGCAAGAGCCTTTCCAAGCAAAAAATGCGAGTCCTGCTTGCTTGGGAAATAGGTCGCAGGACGGTTTTCATCAGCTTTCCTTATTGATTTCCAACGCCAATTTGTGGCAGCAAACTTTGTACTCTCCTCCCGCCGCATCCCTCTTTTCTCCCAAGTGACCTTTGCTATGGAAAGAAAGTTCCAAAACAAACCCAGAGCAGGGTCATTACCTGCTTTGAGGCCGCTGTGGGAAGCCAAGACTGGGGTGGAAGGGTATTAGGACCCAGTGGCAGCGGGATTGCGCTTGCCGTTTAGCAGACAGTCCATACCCTGAGCGAGACGGGGAATCCTGTTTTCCACCAAGAAGGGCTTCCCCGAGGATCTGAAGAGTCCCGGCAGCCCCAACCTTTACAAGGTAAGCAGCCTATCATCTCTCTTTCTCTCTCCTTACCGCAAACCATACTTAAATACAAGCATTTATACTGGGTAGAAAGAGAATGCCTTCTCGTTTTTCCTTTAATAAGACCCTCCCCCCGCAACCCGTCTGATTTTCGCTTCCTCTCCATTAAGGGATTTCCAACTAGCAAATGGTCGTGCCGACGTAAGCGTCGCTGCCCACCAGAAAGTTGTGCGTGGGAAGAGGATAGTTGGATTTGGGGTTCCACGGCTTCTGTAATAGTCGTAAAATCTCCTCCCTTCAAGTCAGCTGTAAGATTCTTAGCTCTCCCCATTTATCAGGGAATGTCAGCCCAGAAGTGGCTTGCAAAGTTGGGGCGGGCTTCACATACCGTCGGATCAACTTTACTTGAATTCCTTTCCCCCCTCTCTTCGATTTCTTCCAGTAGCTGATGCGGAAGCCAAAAAAAATTAATAATAATAAATGCTGGGGATAGGTTAGCATGGCTGAACCTAATGGGTTCAGGCAGCAGAGGTCAGAGTTTAATCAAGAACAACTTGGGACCAGCAACTCTAAGCTGAATCTCAATACTGTAATGGGATAATTGTATAAATGTCTCTTCTATATTCTTTGAGGAACAGCAGGCTTCGTATTTGTTTTTTAAATAACTTAAAGTGATTAGTTCCATTTTATGGATGCAGTAATTCAAGTCAAGGCAACACGTGGAGTAGATTGCATGTGGCTGAGTATGCTCACCCAGGTTTTTTAGACTCATGGAACTCAGGAAGCATTTCTGAGTCAAGACTTTGGATTCAAAGTTCAGTTTAAAAAAAGATTGTTGGTGCTATTTTACTTATTTGCCATCATTCTTGCACAATAAAATTTATCTGGGTAGTGGTTAGTTTTTTGAGGAAAATGGTTGGATGAATGATATATGTAGGAAGTGGGAGCTATATTTCACTCTCAATTCTCAGGTTACTTCCTTCAAATCTCTAAGGAGGTGCTTCCAAAATTGGCATCATCTACTTCCTAGGAATGCTGTTCCTAGACCAGTGGTGGCAAACCTATGGCACGGGTGCCAGAGGTGGCACTCAGAGCCTTCTCTGTGAGCACGTGCGCCGTCGCCCCAGTCCTAGGCCTTCAGCTGGGTTTTATAAAACCTTTTCGCTTTAGGCCTCCACCGCCATGTATAAAAAAAAAGGTTCAATCAATCAGTCAATTTCAACTTCTCGCGGGAAAAAAAAAAGATCTTGCAAAGTTGGAATTGATTGATTGAACTTTTTAGTCCCACCCAGTCTGCCGTTACCACTGCAGCCACGCCCACCCAATGGGCCACACCCACCCAATGGGCCATACCCACCCAGCATAAGTGGGTTTGGGGTTGCAGTTTGGACACTCAGTTTCTAAAAAGTTCGCCATCACTGTCCTAGACAATCTCAAAGACTTCTATTGGTTCCTAACAGGAGTAAAAATAGATTTTTTCCATTGATGGGTGAGAAATCAATATTAGACTCAATGGAAATATAGTTTTTCCTTGCTTGTTTTGTGGAAAACAGATGTGTCTTCAACATTGCTTCATTTGACAAATTTTGATTGTTTTCTCCAAAATTTGGTGCTCAGATCCGCCTCTTCCAACTAGATTTTTTTAGGCTATAGGCTTGAATGGGCCATGCTCATTCAAGATGATGGGAATCATAATCTAACCACATTGATAGTTATCAGGATGGAAATAGAAAATATAGGATTCCTTCCTCTCAAATTAATATGAATAACTAAATGCCTTAAAGTACATTTTATGAAGTCTATTAAGAGAAGGGAGGACTTTGAGATTTTTGAAATGTTTAAATAGAATTAGTGAAAAACTTTAGACCAATAGCCTCAGTAGTCTTTTAAAATTAGGTTCTGATCATAGAGAATGTGAGATTTGGAAAATAACAGCTGGGAAGAACTTTGCCTAAATTATACCATGATTATATGCAGAACAATTTGGAAGAGCTATTTTGGCTGAAGATGATGGGAGGTTAGCACTGCATCTCAAGGATAACATGCTAACTGACTGCAATATTTTCTGCTATTCTTGTCTAGATAGAAGAAAATCATTACTTGTTCCAATTTCTTACCAACTGTTTTGCTTTGCTAGAGGTTAAGTAGAGGAAAAATAGAGTGTATTGGTAGTCAGTGAGTTATTTGTTGAACTAAATCATTTACTTCAATGTAGAAATTTTGTAGAATTTTCTGAATTTTGTGGCATTGCTTCACGAGTATTTGGCAAAACTAGTGGTTTTGCAAAGGGGAAGAGCTGAAACTTAGCAGAGTTGAAAAAAGTGCTTGATTTTTTTTTTATTTCGGTGGAAAAGAAACATCAACTTATGTGGTGATATCAGGTTATTTAAGAAAGAGTTCCTTCTTTACATTAATATCTGTTCCATAGGGCACAGTTACCATAGCTAACTTGAAAACTTTTGGGTTTTGTCAACCTCTCCGCTTCCATATGGTCCTACCTGCACTTGCTAGTAGCATCATTTAGGTTAATATCTGCACATATGGCACCTCTACTGAGCCAGCTGGACAGTCGGTCTTCCTTCAGTCTTTCTAGTGTGGAAGGAGAGGACATCTGAGGTTTTAGCATTGTTGCAAGGTTGTGTTAACTATCTACCTCTCAGGGCAAGGAATAAGCAATCAAGGATGGCTGGCTGCCAGATCAAAAGTAGTGCACCCTTGTCAGGTAGAAACTGAGCTATTAAATTTTCTGAAGAAGCTGAAATTGAGTGAAAAGTGGCTTTGTGTTCCCTAACTGATCAAAGCTTTTAACTGTTAAAGCTTGAGCTTAAATATTGTATCAGGTAGAATTAGATCAACTTGGAGGCCCATGATGCATCCGATTGCTTCAAACCTTGGTTTCTTCTCAAGGCTTGAGATGAAGAAACTGGAAAAGTTGACTTCTTCAATCCATCAATTTGTGGGATTGTTGAATGCCTAGATGTTTTTGAGTTAGTTAAAAAAGTTATTTTTTTTTAATATGAAATGATGTTTCCATGGGATCTGTTTTAATGAAATATAGATGTTGTATTGAAACTATATTTTTGGTTGTCTTGAATGTCTTTTTTTTTAGTGTAAATGGCACACTAAGAATGGATATGCTTAGCACAGTTTGCTACGTCAGTTAAAGATTTAATGATTTTATCTGCATAACATACTAAGCTTGGATATCTTTAATCCTGGTCAGGTATTTTGGGTTTAATGTATCATATGAATCAATATCATTTGGATAATTTAAAATCCAATGCAGCACAATGCAAATGTGTTAACTATAAATGTGCTAAATGTAACTTACACAGTTACAGCTGAAGACTAAAGATTTGTTTGATATTAAGACAGATGTTATAGATGTGCAGGAAAATAAGTCCTCTGTTTTGAAACCCTTCCTAGATGTATAGCAACTGTGATAGGGGGAGGGAAAGAAAAACTCACAATGGTTTGAGAAATGTACTTTGTGCTTTCTATGATTTTCCTACTTACTTCATGTATTTTGAGACAGAAAAATCTGCCTTCATATCAAAAGGTGTGAAAAGCATTGTGTTCAAAGCTGTATGATGTGTATGGTGACTCATTCCTATGTTAGGTCACTGACTCTGCCAGTATTAAGTGATATGCTGAAATTTAGCTTGAAGATGGTTTTAAGTTCAGGACGTAGCTGATTATAAGGTGTTTTTTTTTTAGATTTGTTCAGTGACCAAATGTCTTCCATCTTCTGCATTATCAGTTGGGAGAGAGATGTATGAATATGTACTGTATGTGTATTAAAATGACATAAATTAGTGTGCAAGCATTCAAATTCTTCAGAACTTCTCTTCCAGATTTAGCAATGTCCTGTAGCACAGTTATACAATTTTTTTTCTGGGCAATAGCAACTTTATATTACAACTAAATTAACTCTGATTATGATTGCTTTCTGGTCATGTGTTTAATAAATTTCTAGTTGTATCTCATTAACAATTTAAATTGTTGAGGTGGAAAAAATGATATCATGATTTTTATGTAAAAAGTTGAGATTTGATTTTAATGTCTGATTTTACTGCAACAGAAAGAGTCGGAAGTCAATGCCTTTTGTTTCCCTCCCCTTCCTCACACCTTTGTTTTCCCTTTTCTTACTATTACCCCTACTATTTGCTTTTATATTTTCACATTTTATGTTATAAATGAATAAATCTAATAAAAAGCAAATTTAAATTGTTCATCTTATAGAAGCAGATTCTATACATGTGTCCAAAAGGATTTGTTTT